GATATTATCTTTTTAAGCAAATATGATTCCCAAAAACCCTATCATTTTAAAATCTTCTACCAGACAGTCGTCTAGTGTACATCTTATTGTACAGTTCAATTTACACAATGCATCTCTTTCCAACAATGCAATAGGTATATGTTCTAATATTAGTATGTCTATTTTAATTTCTCTTTGATTTTTATAGCAGAGCTCAATTGGTTCCTTAAGAGTAATTAGCTGTTTTACTACCCCAAATCCCTATCCTAATTAGTTAATTTTACATAGTGAGATGTTTACCCTCTTTAGGCTGAACACAGATAAGTTTTTCCACTATTCACCATTATTTCTCATAGTCCTTTGTTTTCACTTCAATTGTTAGATATTTTCTCTTCTTCTCTAATCGGTGCTATCAGCTGACACCCCCCTTCGTATCTTCTAGGCACTCGAGAATCTTTAGGGTTCACCTGGAGAACAGGTGATCTTCACTTGCTCCTTTATCTTCCTCAGAAATGTCCTCTGTTGTTTCCTCCTGACTTATTGCACTCACAGGTAAAGTGACCAACCTGTCCACAATTATAACATTCTTCTGAAAGTTGCTGGAAGTGTAGCTGAAATCTTCCTCCTCCTTCTAAGCCTTCTCGTCCTCTTCCTCTCCAATTCTGTGTCTGTCCAGAAACTGTCTGTGGGTATGAAACACCTGGTACCCCCCTTGGCTGGTACAATTGCATTTGATATTGTTCAGTTGAAGCTGTAACAGTGATTGTTGATTTGGTTCACTCTGATTCTTCATAACCAAAGCTTCTCTTCTCCTTCTCCACCAGTTGTATGATTGAGTTCTCTGAGAGTTTCTTGATCCTGTTCTTTCTTGCTGTTGACATATCAGGCTTCTTCAAAAGCTTATATTCTAAGTTCTGTCCTCGAAATATCATCTTCCATCATCTTCTTACTATTGGCCTTTCCTTGACCTCAATGTATTCTTCTCCTCCAATGCTTGGGATTCTTTTCTCAGCAGTTTCTCCTTCTGTATCTTCTTCCTCATCTTTCCGAACCTCATTCTTCTCTTAGTTTCCAGACATCTCGGTTTTTCTTACTTCTGGAGTTTTGGATTCATCTTCATTGTCGTTTCTGCTTGTCCTCTATCTATTATTCGTTCATCTTCATCTCTGATGCAATAATCACCCTCCTGGATGATCCCTGGAAGCTGAGGATAAACATCCCTAAGCTCTACTTCCTTCTCGTAAGGTGGGTGTCTTTTTCGCTGAATCCGTATGTGAGAAAGGTATACTGACTTCTGCCATTAGTTTTTCTATCGCCTTTCCTTCCCTTAGCTTTTTCTCTATACCTTTGTTTCTGTTATCGTTGGAATCTTTTATCAGTTTTTGTTTGAGAATGAAGGGCAACTTTTGTTTCATTTGCCGGATAACCTAGCAATACTTTAGTTAAATGATTACTATTTTGTACTATACCAACCGGTGTAATCACCTTCATAGCCTTGATGTCGTTTTTCCCCATTGTAACAACCCTTTTATATTCCTTTATCGTGAATTATTTTATTTTAGACTATATAGCCTATGGCTTCCCCCCTTTAATTATTAGTGGCTATCTTACCACAACCCATCAAATGCAAGTAGTCAACTTCAGACTACAATCCTAAAAACAAAGCCTTCTAACCTTACAACACTACAATTCCCATAAACCCCCTTGCTCTATAAGCACCTAATTATCTTAATTTTACAGAATAATGTCAGTCCTTGATTCCCAACACAACTCCAATCAACCCCCAAGTGATGCACCGAGCCTCCCAAATGCAATTTTTAATGAATCAGTATTTGCCAAGCCTATGTGAAATTGTCATAACATCAAACATCCTGTAGGGGAAGATTTTGTAACCAGACCAGTACCAAAACCTTTTTGACTCGATCATCTGTCGCGTCACGTGACGTGTACGTCAGCACCCCCTCTCTTTCTCTCTCCATTGTTCCTCTCATATGACAAAAGAACAGAGACACAAAAAGATTTTTGTAGTTAATGCAATCACTGAGTTATTTCAACCATATTCAATATTCCCCCACTCACATTCGCTTTAAGACTTAACTCAGGACTAAATAGATCGCTCAAAAACATTTTTATTTTATTTTAATCCGTCATTTAATTTAATTCATTATAATCCGTCAACATATATCTAATTTATAAATTCAATAGGTCACAAAACAAGTTTCATCTTTAACCAACAGCCGATGTAACAACTAGAAGATTTAATTCATTTTCAAATCTTTCCTCTTTGTTCCCTCGTCTGTGTTTCTCTGTCTCCCCCTGCGGCACAGCCCCACAGAAATATGACACTTTACCCACAATCCCCTTTGTTGTAGTTTTAGTACCGTAACCCAACGTCTCATAATCTCGTGCCATAAACTCCAACTCCCACGTTTTGTAGCGTAGTGTCATAAAATTAAACGCATGCGCAAATGCATTCAACGATACGATTCCCAGACAATAGAACGCTAGCATTCCGCTACAACCTCACTATTTTATACCTTATAATCAAACAATTACACATAACAGAGCTCACATTTGCGTAGAACTCTGAATTCCACACACACAGACATATTTTAAGAGGCTTAGTCCATCGCAATGGCACCTCTAAGGACACCCATTAGCATGTAGCACGCAACACAATTAGCATTTAGCATTTAGCCTTTATGTACAATGTGGCATGAAACCCAACCAACATTTAGCATCAGCATTAGCATTAGCCCTTAGCTACCCTGTGGCTGGCACCACGCCCTAAGTAACCTGCATTGTGCCTAAATCATTGTCCATTTATCCCCTTCTAACTTTATGCTGCCGTGAGATATGGATATTATATGAGCGGCTACCCCATGCAGATACCCCGTCGACTACAAGATGAGAATAACTTACAATATAACCGTCCACCTCATAGTTCCCAGAACTAACCTGACAACACCTAGCGCGTTACAAGGATTTATGGCCCACCCCTAAGGAGTCGCCCCATTTCGAGGTCTTTCTCAGATTCACAATGCCCTAATGTATACGTATTCCTGCCTTTATTCACTACCAATCCATTGTTCTAGACTTCCTATTATTTACCGTTTACCAATGCAACCACATTTTAGAATAATTATTACAGACTCCTAGTCGACAGCAATAACGCCACACGAGGCACATTTCGGTCGTAATGGTACATTCCTCCAGTGTACACAAGTAGTATCCAAACTAACAACCTCCAAAGCTTGTGAGAAAAACTCACCCTTTTCTGGCCATGACTTCAGAACGAGTTAGCTTGGCGGCCACGAATGAAACAAAGGAGATTTGCAGACCAGCCCCACGTTGGGCGCCATTTGTCGTATCGAGTAAATGCTGGCAATTATTGCTGATGAACAAAGGAGTCCGCTCATACTGAACCTGGATCATAAGATTTATTCATATCACAAGTTTACAGCATAAGTTACAGACCCGCGGTGTCTGGAGAAGCACCGTCCCAAATTAATCTGAATGCTTCTGCCGCCTCCTTGTCTAGCTCATACTTATAAACAATGGCAAAAATGGGTTGCTCCCTCTTTCGTCCAATCACCGGTCTCCCCTGGGGCGTCACCCTACAAACGGCTACATTTGAACTAAGATAAACATCCTCTGGTTCCATTAAGAAAGTCATAATCTTTAATACACTACACTTGCAATTTTCATGTAGACTTGATTGTGTGTTTTGGATCATTGTCTTACTGCATGACCCAGCTGCGCTTCAGCTTCAGCTCACAGACGGATGGTCTGACATTCTCCTGTAGAATTCTCTGATACAGAGCAGAATTCATGGTTCCTTCTATTAAGGCAAGTCGTCCAGGTCCTGAGGCAGCAAAGCATCCCCAAACCATCACACCACCACCACCATGCTTGACCTTTGGTATGATGTTCTTACTGTGGAATGCAGAGTTTGGTTTTCGCCAGGCATTACTGGAACCATGTCGTCCAAAAAGTTATACTTTTGAATCATCTGTCCATAGAACGTTCTTCCAAGAGTCTTGATGATCATCCAGGTGCTTTTTGGCAAACTTGAGTCAACTTTTTGGACGAGATGGGTCCCATTATGCCTGGCGAAAACCAAACACTGCATTCCACAGTAAGAACATCATACCAAAGGTCAAGCATGGTGGTGGTGGTGTGATGGTTTGGGGATGCTTTGCTGCCTCAGGACCTGGACGACTTGCCTTAATAGAAGGAACCATGAATTCTGCTCTGTATCAGAGAATTCTACAGGAGAATGTCAGACCATCCGTCTGTGAGCTGAAGCTGAAGCGCAGCTGGGTCATGCAGCAAGACAATGATCCAAAACACACAATCAAGTCTACATGAAAATAGCTAAAAAGCAACAAATTGGAAGTTTTGGAATGGCCTAGTCAAAGTCCAGACCTAATCCCAATTGAGATGTTGTGGCAGGACTTGAAACGAGCAGTTCATGCTTGAAAAACCACACGTCACTGAGTTAAAGCAGTTCTGCATTGAAGAGTGGGCCAAAATTCCTCCACAGTGACGTGAGAGACTGATCAACAACTACAGGAAGCATTTGGTTGGAGTCATTGCAGCTAAAGGTGGCACAACCAGTTATTGAGTGTAAGGGGGCAATTACTTTTTCACACAGGGGAATTGGGTGTTGCATAACTTTGTTTATGAAATAAATATGTAATTGTTGTGTTATTTGTTCACTTATCTAATATTAGGTTTTGGTTGAAGATCTGATAACATTCAGTATCACAAATATGCAAAAGTAGAGAAAATTTGAAAGGGGGAAAATACTTTTTCATAGCACTGTGTATAAATAGATTCCTAATTCCTTTAAAACAGCACCCTACCATACATAACTGGACATCAGAGGATAACTGGGCATCAGAGGAGCATTTTAAACTATTGTAATGTAATAACAGTAATATGGTAAATATTCCATATAACCTTCATTGTAAAAACGAAAGTTTGTGACGCTGACTTCTCTTTTTCAGGTTTATAACATGAAAGATGTGCCAGGTATGTGTTTAGATTTGTCACACAGCAATCCCATTTTTTTGTACTGGTATGTCACAAAAGTTGTAACTGCTTTGACTCATTATTGATTACATATAACTAACTAGTTATTGATGTGGTCACTGAATGGTCTATTTTCTGTCTAGACGCAGAGCCCCTGCCACATATACCTGTGGTGGAGATATTTTCAGACGACGAGGAAGAGGATCGGGTACCACAGTTCCCCCACAAGTGAGTCACACAGAGACCTCCCTCCCCCACCCCCTCCCTCCTTGCCTTCCTTCTCTACCTCACTGAACAGACATTTACATTTACATTTACGTCATTTAGCAGACGCTCTTATCCAGAGCGACTTACAAACACATCTCCACAGCCAAATTCACCTTTACTCGCTGACAAAGCTTGTCTTAATCCTAATCCTCTACCACCCCCCCCCCCCCCACCCCCCTCTCTCTCTCTCCCTCTCTACTGTCTTCTCCCCCCCCCCTCTTTCTTCCTCTTTATCTATTTTCTCCCCATCTGTCTTGTGTTGCAGAGTGGTTAACTGGATTAAGAACGCTATTCCTCAGCCTGTGATGCTCCCTGCAGGTTACGTAGAGGCCCAGTGTAAGGCCCAACAGGCCCAAAGCAAGAGGTCATCTCTTGACAAAGGTACAGTCCGAGTTTAAACGTTTGAGGCCGGTTACCTGGACATACAGTGAGGGAAAAAAGTATTTTATGTTTTTTGTATGTTTGCCCACTGACAAAGAAATGATCAGTCTATAATTTTAATGGTAGGTTTATTTGAACAGTGAGAGACAGAATAACAACAACAATATTGAGTTGCACCCCCTTTTACCCTCAGAACAGCCTCAATTCATCGGGGCATGGACTCTACAAGGTGTCGAAAGCGTTCCACAGGGATGCTGGCCCATGTTGACTCCAATGCTTCCCACAGTTGAGTCAAGTTGGCTGGATGTCCTTTGGTTGGTGGACCATTCTTGATAAACAACGGAAACCCAGTGTTGCAGTTCATGACACACTCAAACCGGTGCTCCTGGCACCTACTACCATCCCCCGCTCATTCAAAGGCACTTAAATATTTTGTCTTGCCCAATCACCCTCTGAATGGCACACGTGCACAATCCATGTCTCAAGGCTTAAAAATCCTTCTTTAACCTGTCTCCTCCCCTTCATCTACACTGATTGAAGTGGATTTAACAAGTGACATCAATAAGGGATCATAGCTTACAGTCTATGTCATGGAACGAGCAGGTGTTCCTAATGTTTCGTACACTCAGTGTAGATTAAGCCTAGTCCTGAACTAAGAAGCATACTCTATGGAGGATCTCAATTGAAATAACTTTCTAGTCCCGGACTAGGCTTAATCTGTGTCCAGGAAACTGGCCCTTATAACCTAAATATACTAGCTGTACATCTATGCTACTGTTGTACACCTGTCTTCTCCTTTCCTCTCAGTTTTGTCGCCACCTCCTGAGTCTCTCAAAGGTGACGAGGACTCACAAAACTCGAAGTAAGTTTCACCTGAGGGCGCTATGCTACTCCTGTCACAATACAGGCTCAGATGTCTGTTTGTATGTTTCTGTGTTCCTTTTGGCCCGTTAGTAAGGTGTTTCTCTATGTGTCCCACAGTGTCGTGGGCTGGTTTGTGATGGGCCTCGGCCTCAAGATGCCACAGCATGTTGCGAGATCAAGAGATGATGTTGAAGTTCTGCAGAATGGTAAGTGGTTTTTTAATGTTTTCAGTTTTTTTACCGATGTCTCAGTTCAAATTCAAATCAGATCTTAAATCACACAATAGACTCACTACAGAATTGATTCAATATAAAATATCACGTTGTGAATGACAGTAAGACCCATCAACAATTTTCACAAATTGAGGGTAATTTCGATGTTAGACCATGCAGTAAGTGTGAGCTTGGGACCTTCTATTTAATTTATTAAATTAAATGTTTTACTATTTCTTCTATATTCCATAAATTGTTCAGGAACAGAAGTGACTGTAACCCTCTCCTTCTGTTGGTCTGTTTTAGACAGACCCTAACTCAGTCCATCTTCTCCTTCTGTTTCAGAGGGGGGGAGTGCTGAGAGCCCCTTAAACAAAAGGAGAAAGAAGATTGAGGAACAGTGAGAGAGACTGAGAGAGACTGAGCACAGAGAGATAGAGACAGGGGTAGACAGACAGACTTACCGACATAGATGATAGTGGACATTTATACAGCTCAACTGAGCAACCCGGCAGCTGTGAGACATTGCGTCAAAAAGATGTTTAACTCCCCTTACTCTTTATGGAATTCAGATATTTTTGTTTGATTTTAATTGTATATAGTCAGTGTAAATCAGTTCATTAAAATTACCCGTTTGTCAGTTGATGTCAGTTATTCAACTCTTGTCGATATGTAACAAGAAATGGGTCTTGTCTTCATTGAAGTAATCTTTGCAATAATTTGAATGCATTAAGAGATTATATTAGAAAATACATACAGACACATAGAGCTATCAGCCAACACTGATCCTCATAGTTTTTGTGCATGAAAGATACCATATTAAACTACCATCTTGTATTGTATGCTTGTGGCATAGATGCACATAAAAAAATTAAGCCATGAGAAATTGTCTTATGGTCACGTTTTGCCCTTCTATTCTCATCGCCTTGAACTATGTGGCCAAAGGTTGCAATGTTATTTATTTTGATTTGATTGAATTTACTAGAGTGAAATCCACAAAAAAGGATTTGACAAACACAGTCAAGGCAATCAAGTTATTATAAATAAGATTATAAACTATGACATAATGCCTGAACAGTATGGCTGACAGTATAATAACATGTGAAATATTATACAAATAATAAAGATGTCATATGAAATATTATGTGTCATGTTAAAAGATTGATGATATGAAATTCATACAAAACATTTAGCACTGTATTCCTTTGAGTATATTGCTTTTAAATGGAAAATAAAATAAGTGGATATCATATTTTAATTGTGGATTTCAAATATTTTCCTCAATTCAAATGCTACACCTCCAATACGATTGATTGTTTACATTAACATGTTGACTCTGGGTGTCATGTCAGTTGTAAGAGTCCAGACAAAGACAGTGATCTACTGTGTGGCTGCTTGTCCCACAGTCTCTAAACAACCCAAAGCAGTGGACCTGGTTCTGGAGGAAGTAGTAGAAGCAGACTTGAAGGATCTGAATCAGGAGGTGCCATCCAAGGCTGTGCAGTCAGAACCACCACAGCCTTTTAAGCCCACGCAGACGACACAGCCAACACAGACGACTCAGTCACAGCCGGCACAGCCAAAACAACCAGTGAAACCAGAAGAGCCTGAACAGACTCTTCCAAATGTGCCAGAGTCTACAACAGCGTCGCTGGAGGATGCTGAGACTCAGACGGGCAGGTGGACACCATTCATAGAGAGCATCAAGAGAGAGGCTGAGGGCATAGTTATGGCTAACATGGAGGAACGGTAAGGAAGGAGTCAGACAAGATCAAATATCAAAGTAATTTATGTAGAATATCACAGCAGCCTACACACAGTCACTAATTCACACATTCAGTCTGGTTATGGTGATCCAACTAAAGTTGCATATCTTGTCATAGGGTTAACCAGATTATTATTATTTTGTCTGATGGAGTAATAAAGTTAGCTAAATAAGGTTAGCTAAATAAAGTTAACTTGGGTGCTACACATGACATACTAGTAATATCCCAGCAATGTGCACATCTCTGCAGGATGACCCAGGAGCGCGTGGATTTGGTGCGAATGGCGGAGGAGGTGGCCAGACACACAGCTGAGATGACCATCAGGCAGATGCAAGAGGCCCAATCAATCAAGCTTTCCATTCACAGCCAGGAAGCCATTCTGGAGGAAGATGAGGACCCAGAGTAAGTTGTCACTCTGGCCTCAACCTCCTCAGAGTCCCCTGCCTACTCCAGAGTGAATGCGTAGGCTAGCTCCAACCACCTGCTGCCCTAGACTTATAGCAGTATAAATGTAGCATTTATTGGGGTCATGGTTTGAGACAACTGGCCATAGACATGTGAAGTCCCTATATGCCTGTACACGTGTGGGAGGGGAGGTAGGACTGTGTTTGTCTTATCTGTGTCCCTGTCATGCCCTGAACAGGTTGCACATGCTACGGGAGGAGGAGAGTGAGGTGGAGCACACTAAGAATAAGATGACAGAGTAAGATATACCCACTCATACACTCTTAGAAAAAAAAGAGAACCTCAAAGGGTTCCAAAAGGGTTATTTGGCTGTCCTCATAGGAGAACCCTTTGAAAAACCCTTTTCACATAGGGTTCTACATGGGACCCAAAAGGGTTCTACCTGGAACCAGAAAGGGTTCTCATATGGGGACAGCCGAAGAACCCTTTTGGAACCCTTTTTTCTAAGCCTGTAGAATAAGATGGTGTAAGAATAACCGAAACAAAGAGAGGGGAATATGCCCATAAAAGGTCTACCTTCGTGAAATTCACTAGCTGCCTCAATGCTTCTCAGAGTGAAAAACAACAACAGTAGGCTGTGTGTTTGTGTAACAGTACTCTTCTTGCGTTGTGTACAATCAATCATCAACACGAACTCCATCTAGTAACACCAGTCATGGAGCTTTATTCTGATAGGAACAGCACAAAATTGCACGTCATGCAATGCACGGCTCACCATCCAACTCTGCACTCATGCACTGTAGAAAATATACAAATCCCCCACCAGACACAGTAAGTTGCTAGCTAGTATTAGCTGGAATTCTCTACAACAAATATTCACCAAAAAACACTGCATCTTATGTGTGATGTTCGAATAACATTTACAAACAAATTGATATAAATTATACATTTACATCATCACTTGGGAGTATAAAAATCACTTTTGACGTACAGTACTTTGCAACCAACAACTTACCGCTGGTTTGGTGCTTGTTCACTGGGATGATTCTAACATCTTCCCTCGTAAGCAAGCTACGCCAACCAGCCAATAAGATGCCATGTTGAGTAGGCGAATGCATGACAAAACCAAAAACCCATTGGCTTAACAATAAAGTGGCAAGGGGAATCACCAATATAACCCTGTTACATTTGCACTGTCATTTGATAACTTGTTACACCAATGTAAAGTATTTTCCTCTGCAGGACCTGATAAACATTTACATTTACGTCATTTAGCAGACGCTCTTATCCAGAGCGACTTACAAATAGGTGCATTCACAGCTTCAAATAACCAATTCATCATCAAGCTTTGATGATTTGAATCAGCTGTGTAGTGCTAGGGCAAAAACCAAAACGTGCACCCGGGGGGGCACATGACCCAGTTAGGGAAACCGTTCCATAAACCACTGCAAACTAGCCTATAGTCAACAATTGGTGTAATCCAGGGGTGTCAAACGTCCGGCCCGCGGGCCGGATCAGGCCCGCAAACGGGTTTAATCCGGCCCGCGAGATGATAAAAAATAAAATAATAAATAGCAATTGTGTTAAGCAAACTGTTTATACCGGGGCAGAGCAAGTAGGTCAAGCACCTGCAGCCAATGAGCTACTTTGTTTTGCCCGCGATATTTATTACGGCTTCTACTTTTAACCTTATGTGCTTTGGCACCCTCATTGCCCCAATATGTCTCTGTCAAAAAAGAGAAAAGTGGACGCAGAGTGTTCCAAGAAAAATGGTAATCCTATTTATTCACGGAATTGAATGGGAAAGCTGTATGTTTGGTGTGTTCAGAGCATGTTGCAGTGCTGAAAGAATATAACCTTCGTCGCCACTATGTGAGTCTTCATGCCGACAAATATGACAACATTCAAGGACAGCGGAGATGAGAGAAGGTGAATGAACTGTTGGCGGGTCTGAAGAAATAGCAGCCTGTGTTTACTCACAGCCGAGACATCAGTGACGCTGCAGTGAAAGCTAGCTACCTCATTGCTAATGAAATCGCAGTGGCTTCAAAACCATTTAGTGAGGGTGAATTTGTAAAAACATGCATGATGAAGGCAGCGGAGATTGTGTGCCCTGAAAAGCGGCAGGCTTTTGCAAATATCAGCCTGACAAGAAACACAGTTGCAGACAGGATTTCCGATCTTTCAGTGGATTTGGACAGCCAGTTGAAGCAAAAAGTAAAGTCATTTATTGCGTTTTTCGGTTGCAATTGATGAAAGCACGGACATTACAGATGTTGCACAACTGGCCATTTTCATCCGCGGAGTTGATGACACATTGACCGTCACCGAGGAGTTCGTGGAGTTGGTGCCGATGACAGATACAACGACAGCAGCTGATATTTTTACCGCACTCGTCGGCGCGCTGGACAGGGTCGGAGTGGACTGGTCCCGCGCTGTCAGCCTGGCTACAGATGGTGCGCCCTCAATGATCGGGAAAAAAAGCAGGCGTTGTGACAAAGTTCAGAGAGAAAGTGCAATCTGCAAATGGAGGACGTGATTTTTTGACTTTTCACTGTATTTTGCACCAGGAGGCTTTGTGTTGCAAGTCATTAAAGATGGATAACGTCATGAAGGTGGTCATCCAAACTGTTAATTTCATCCGATCCAGAAGCCTGAATCACCGTCAGTTTGACAGCCTTCTCAGAGAGAAAGACCACATCTATGGCCTGCCATACCACACTGAGGTAAGATGGTTAAGCCGAGGTGCTGTGCTGAGGCGTTTCTTTGATTTACGAGAAGAAATTGAACAGTTCATGGAAGAAAAGGGCAAACCAGTGTTAGAATTTCATTCCGCAGAATGGATGCAGGACCTTGCATTTATGGTGGATGTTACAGAGCACCTGAATAACTTGAACAAACAGCTGCAAGGGCGCAACAAAGTTGTCACGCAGTATTATGACAGCATACGTTCTTTCAAGTTGAAGCTGTCATTGTGGGAGACGCAACTTGCCGGTGGTGATGCAGCTCACTTCCCCTGTCTGAAAAATGTGTGCGCGACCCAACATGTGGCAGACATGAAGCGGTTCAAAGATAAAATAACGGGACTGTTACGGGAGTTTGAGCAACGCTTTCAGATTTATGTTTATATGTTTTTATGTTGATGTGCTATTGTTTTTAATTGATTTTATTTTATTTGTATATTTAACCTATTCTTGACTCTGTGGTTCTTGCACTTGTTTGGGGAACAGGATTTCATTATTTTTATCTACATTTCTGCCTGAGAAATGACACCCTGATATAGTTCTGTGATCTGTGATATACTTCTGTTAATCACTGAGGCATTGTGTGTTTGTGTGTTCTTTTTCCTCAGAATTTTCAAATAAACTTGAGGTGTTTTATGATTAATAGTGATGTTGTGCTGTATTTGGAACACTGTCCTCAGGCTCCAGCTTTATGTTTTATATGTTTTATAAAGATGCTATATTTTGAATTGTTTTTTTTATTGTATATTTAACCATGATCTTGACTCTGGGTTCCGTGCCACTTGTTGGGAACGGATTTCAGATTTTCCTACCATTTGGCCCTGAGAAGACACCCTGATAGTTGTGCATCTGTGATCAACATTGTTAACACTGAAGCATTTGTTTGTCTTTCTTAGAATTTCAAATAAACTTACGTGTTTTCATGACATAGTGAGGTTGGCATTGATACTATTGGAACACACTGTCCTCAGGCCCCTTATGGTATGCTTGATCAATAAACAAGACAACCATCTGAAGTTGTTTTCTTTAAGGTTATAATTCCAGTTTTGGGCTCGGCCCACTTGGGAATAGATTTTCCTCCATGTGGCCCCTGAGCTAAAATGAGTTTGACACCCCTGGTGTAATCACATTCACATCAAGCATCTCTTTCCAAATCTCTCACGAATGCTCAATACTGTTTCCAGCCCCTTAGCGTCATTTGATCCTCATAGAAACAACATCGCTTCCCTTGGCAACATGGCCCCCTCTCGACGGTTGCCTTAGTAACTGAGCGCACCTCCTATTTTTCTGCTTCGACGCGAGTAAAGGATGTCGCAGGTTTGGGCTCGAGCGAATCGATTGAGGGAGACGATTCTCTCTCTATTTCAAAACTTTTAAACCCAGCAGAACATTTGCAGACTTGACAACATATTCGTTCATGCCGCAAAGATGCGTCTTAGGATGGAAACTATGACCTAATGCACTAGAAATATCTTGAGTGTCCAAGTGAGTACTGTAATTAGCCTCTCAAGCCTGCCATGTCCATATTATGCAAATTGTTTTTGACACAGCGTAGGCTTGTCAGATGGAACACTTATGTACCTGTTGCTAACCGTTTACTGGCAACAAACTAAATGTCTGAAAACATTTTGTTTATTCCAAACTGTACACTTATTTATTCTAGTGAATTATCTTGATTGGCTACTGAACTGGTTGCTAGGTTGATTACATAATGCAGGGTATTAGTAGGCTAGCATTAGCAAGTGAGCTGTTTTGTTGTTGAGCGACCTATGCAATATGGTGTCAGGTGGTTATAGGGGGGAGGCATTATGATCATCTGGGAGAAACATTCTGTTGTGTTCGTTCTTATGTCATCATATCACTGTGTGCATATTTCTCTGATGTAGCCCTAACTGCCCCTGTACTGTAGGTGCCAGGTGTGTCCTGCTAAGGAGGAGCCAGTGGAGGCTGCAAAGAGTGCCCCTCAGTCAGAGCGCGACTTTGCTTCACCCGACGATGAACCAGAGCCCCAGGAGGAGCTAGAGTCCAAGAGCGCCTCTCCATCTCCTCCTCCCAGCCCAGAACCAGATCCAGTCAAGACAGCAGAGCCTGAACCTAAACTAAAGGCCCAGGACGCCAAAGTAGCACCTGAACCGGTGACCCAACAACCACAGAAAGCAAAGGGGGCAGAGGACGGAACCAAACCTGACACCACTACCAAGGTAATGTCACAGCCATGGTTTCTCCTGAGGCCTGTACAGCTGTGGTACCTGTCAGCAAATGCTATTCCCTGCTGCTGTTCAGTCACTCATGGCTGTTCTGTTCCTCTTTGCTTCTTACTGTCTCTGCAGGAGGAGGGGGAGACTGCAGAGGAGGGTGGCTGTGGTGGTAAGTATTTGTTCATTATAATACGGTTGTGTTTATGTTTGTAAGGGAATATTGTAATCACATTTGAATGCGTTTCTTGGTTTGAAAGTTGCAAGTCCCGTGATGGACCTGACCAATCCTTTATCTGCGGAGAATGCATTGACCACCACATGTGTGGTTGCATGCATGCATGCATTCATGATCTCTCACAGTGTAGGGATTAATATTTTCCAGAAACCAAGTTTCAATACCGGGAATAATTAATTTTATTCCAGAGCGCCCGGGAAATAGCGCAAAAATCAGAAGTGCCCATTTAAAGTGTTTAAAACCAAGATATGGTTACTATGCCAGGGTTCTCCCCAAATAAGAGGGGCGCTGTGCCGCTATGTAAAGATTTCAGAGCAAATTAAACTGATATTTAGTAATGATAGAGTAACTATCTTTGATCGCCAATGACATTGTTGAGAATTGCGAAACAAGCCATTCATAAATTCAGAGCGTTATTATGTTCCTCAATTAATTCGGCACATTTCAGCAGTAGGCTATCTCAACACAGAGTGTGCTCAGACATTTAACATTTAAGTCATTTAGCAGACGCTCTTATCCAGAGTGACTTACAGTTAGTGCAACATTATCACTCACCACCTTCCGGAGACATTTGAAACCCCACCTCTTTAAGGAATACCTGGGATAGGATTAAGTAATCCTTCTACCCCCCCCTTACCCCAACCCCCCCCCCCCCCCCCCCCCCCCCCAGAAAAAAACAAAAAAACATTGTAAAGTGGTTATCCCACTGGCTATAAGGTGAATGCACCAATTTGTAAGTCGCTCTGGATAAGAGAGTCTGCTAAATGACGTAAATGTAAATAATAATTTTTCATGCTGGCCCCCCATGGGAAACGAACCCACAACCCTTGCATTGCAAACGCCATGCTCTACCAACTGAGCTACATTCCTGCCGGCCATTCCCTCCCCTACCCTTGACGACACTGGGCCAATTGTGCGCCGCCCCATGGGTCTCCTGGTCGCGGCCGGCTACGACAGAGCCTGGATTCGAACCAGGATCTCTAGTGGCACAGCTAGCACTGCGATGCAGTGCCTTAGACCACTGCGCCACTCGGGAGACATAGAGCGCAAACCGAGTATAGTGTTGTCAAACTCAAATCATGTAACGGCAATGAAACAAAAGTCAAATGACCAAAGTTGCTAAGCTTGCTAGATAACCTCCTTCAATGAATGACATATCTTATATTTGGCAAAATCGAGTTGATGATTATACAGATAGCAGATCAGCTCATGAATAATGGCGAGATGAAGAGTGGAAACAGTTTAAATATCAACGTATCTTAACGGGGACCAACTCTGTTTTAAAATATCTCATACCGTTTGTTGATCACACATTCTCTACCGAAGCTCTCATATGGGCAGCAGTACGAGACCGCGCAGAGAAGAGGGGGAATGTCAAAACATATAGACTCAATGGTTGCTAAAATGGGAAGAAGTCTGTCCATGATAGGGCGTTGGTCTGTCTTCTTGACATCTCAGTCGACCAGACAGGTCCTAAAGGCCCTAGTTTGGTCGCACCTGGACTACTGCCCAGCTGTGTGGTCATGTGTTGCAAAGAAGGACATAGTTAAATTGCAGTTGTTCCAGAACAAAGCAGCACGTATCGCACTTAGATGTACATGGAGGGAAAGTGTCTGTAACTTTTATGTCAGTATCTCCTGGCTCAATGTTGAGGAGAGATTGACTGCAACACTATTGGTCTTTGTGCGAGGTATTGAAGGTACCGAACTTTCTGTTCAAGCAGTTGGCACACAGTTCGGACACAAGACATGCAACCAGAGGTCTCTTCACAGTCCCCAGGTCCAGAACAGAGGCTGGGAAACACACAATATTAAATAGACACATGACTACATGGAACTCTCTGCCACCCCAGGAAACTCAAGCTAGCAATAAAACCAGATTAAAAACCAGATAAAAGAACACCTTACTGCACAAAGGGGACTGTGAAGAGACACAGCCATTTTATATATATTGTATTGTAATTTGCACTGTACTATGTATCAGACCTAGATATTTTGTGTATGTACTGATATGTATATTTATTTCGACGCAAAACTCACCATTGGCGTGTGTGTCAAAGAGCTCTATTATCAAATCAAGTTGTATTGGTCACATACACATTTAGCAGATGTTATTGCGGGTTTAGCGAAATGCTTGTGTTCCTAGCTCCAACAGTGCAGTAGTATCTACAATTCACAACAATACAAAAATCTAAAAGTAAAATAATGGAATTAAGAAATATATAAATATTAGGACGAGCAATGTCGGAGTGGCATTGACTAAAATACAGTAGAATAGAATGCAGTATATACATATGAGATGAGTAAAGCCGTATGTAAACATTATTAAAGGGACTAGTGTTCCATGATTAAAGTGGCCAGTGATTCCTTGTCTATGTATATAGGGCAGCAGCCTCTAAGGTGCAGGGTTGAGTAACCAGGTGGTAGCGGGCTAGTGATGGCTATTTAACAGTCTGACGGCCTTGAGAGAGAAGCTGTTTTTCAGTCTCGGTCCCAGCTTTGATGCATCTGTACTGACCTCGCCTACTGGATGATAGCGGGGTGAACAGGCCGTGGCTCGGGTGGCTTCCTGTGACATTGGGTGCTGTAGGTCAGGCAGTGTGCCCCCGGTGATGCGTTGGGCAGACCGCACCACCCTCTGGAGAGCTCTGCGGTTGCGGGCGGTGCAGTTGCCTTACCAGGGTGTGATACAGGCCGAAAGGATGCTCTCAATTGTGCATCTGTAAAAGTTTGTGAGTGTCTTAGGGGCTGTTGTGCCTTCTTCACCACACTGTCTGTGTGGGTGGACCATTTCAGATTGTCAGTGATGTGTACGCTGAGGAACTTGAAGCTTTCCACCTTCTCCACTGCGGTCTGGGCGATGTGGATAGGGGGGTGCTCCCTCTGCTGTTTCCTGAAGTCCACGATCAGCTCCTTTGTTTAGTTGACGTTGAGGGAGAGGTTATTGTCCTGCCACAACTCCACCATGGTCAGATGACATGAAAATAGAGCTCATCAGTGCTAGGTTTTGTGTCGAAAGAAAGATGCAAATGCAGAAAATAACCCCATACGTACTGTAACATATGGTGGTGGATCTTTGATGTTATGGGGCTATTTTGCTTCCACTGGTCCTAGGGCCCTTGTTAAGGTCAACGGCATCATGAACTTTACCCAGTACCAGGACATTTTAGACAAAAATCTGGTTGCCTCCGCCAGGAGGCTGAAACTTGACCGCAAGTGGATCTTCCAGAAGACAATAACCCAAGGACATCAAAATCGACAAAGAAATTGTTAATTGGCCACAAAAATCAACATTTTGCAATGGCCATCTCAGACTTTAACCCTATTGAAAACCTGTGGTTTGAATTGAAGAGGGCAGTCCATAAGCACAGACGAATGATATCAAGGATCTGGAAATATTCTGTAAGGAGGAATGGTCTAAGATCCCTTCCAATGTGTTCTCCAATCCCATAAAACATTTTAGAAAAAGGCTTGATGCCGTTAACCTCGCAAGGTGAGGTATTGAAAGGTATTGAAAACAGGGGTGTCAATCATTTTGACCGCTATCTTTTTGAGAAAAAAAAAATCTGACTTGTTAAACATCTCTTTCTCCGAGCAATTGTATTAGTATAAAATAATATAATTTAGCATACAATATAGCTCAGTTTTTGAATTATTTATTTTATACAGTCTTTTTTGCTGATCTTTATCAAAGGTGCCAATAATTATGGATCTGACTGTTTATCTATATATTTTTTAGGAGGGGGTCGGTGGCCCCCTAGCGGCCGGGCCCTAAGTGACCGCTTATGTCGGTGATTCCCAGGGCCGGCCCTAATTAGGATGAGTGTTGTCTAGTGCTGCCTGACTGACTGACTGACGGTGTTGTGTTCTCCTCCCAGTCCCTGCCAGCTGCGATGCAGTAAAGAGCTGTCTCATGCATGTTCCCCATGCGCCTGAGTGCCTCGACAGCTTCAACAACCTGCTGAAAGAGCACAACATCACCCCTCCTAAACTTCCCCCCATGCCCCAACTCCCCACCAATCTCTCCAAGTTCACCTCCCAGGTCACCCAGCTAGTGCCCTCTCTCCCCCCAGAACTTGCCCAAGAGCTCTCCCAGTACACTCGGCCATTCACCCAAATGTCCCAGCGTGTCTCCCAACTGCCACTACAGATATCTCAACTGCCCCAAATGATGTCCCAACTGCCCCAGCAGCTCCAAGTTCAAATACATCAGCAGTTACCCGGTCTACCCACCAACCTACCCCAGCAGTTATCGAGCTTACCCCAAACCCTGGCCAATATCCCCAGCCAGATATACAACTTACCTCAGCGAGCGGGACAATCCTACACCAATGTGCAGAACCGCCTGAACAGCCTTATGCCTCAGGATGCCTAAGCAGCAGCAGCAGAATCGTGACCTGGAGTTGGACCGCCTGGTCCGCCAGGTCCCCCTCCACCACCACCACTCCCCGACCCGCACCCCCTCCCCGTCCTCCCCCAATAGTACCCTGGAGATGCCCAACGTGCCCTCCTACCCCCACTTGCCCCCCATCAGCCTGTCCAGGCAACTGTCAGGGCTTTCCAACCCTGCCTTCCACATCGAGGACGACCCCACATCCGCTCGGCCCTCAGGTGATTCAGTGGCAGCCCACAGACGTCCTGCTCTGGCATGCTGCCCTGTTCAGCGCTGTGCGGTGCTGTGCTTAGATCTGCTGGGCTATGTTGTGTTGGAGTCCGTTGTTGTCACTAGCTCTGTGTTCGTTGTTGTTGTTGTTGTTGTTTTGTATCCTGTGGTTCCAGGAAGCTCTTGCTTTAAATGGTCTACTCTGTTTGTTCCCTGTATGTTTTGTTTTGTTTTTGTTCTTTTAGATTAGTTTCAGCTGTGTGTATTGTGATAGGCAAGCCTTCAAGTGGCACTTGGACAACAGAGGAAGAGTCAGAGTATATGACACTTGTAGTGTCCTGTTTCGCGCCTAGAATGTGTATAGAGTACCACAGTTCAAAGCCTCATTACTAGCTGTGTTCCACTTCCCAATAACATCCCTGGAGAATAGTTGATCAAGTTCTTGTTGCTTCCCCAGCGAGCTCCAGGCTCAGTGTGCACCCTGCTGTCAATGTGGAGGACGTGGATTCAGGCGGAGGGGGGCACCATCGACACATTCCCCAAATCCTCATCCCCCAGGACCCCAACCTCAAGACCCTGACCGTACCCAGAGTATCCAAAGCCAGCCGCCAGAGGTGAGCCCACACTCCCAAATTAATTTGCTTCCACTTGGAATAAGGGAATTATATAAATGTAAAGCAGCTAAACACATCACTGCTGTCTAAGTAATGCATAATACTGTACTAGTTCTACTACCGTTGAAGTAACTTATTTCCCAATCTATAATTATATCTTCTAAATGTCTGTTTTCTTTTTCTCTCCTATATTGCTTTGGCCAAAACAGCAAAGTTTCTGATAAAGAGTAAGAACAGAGAATGGATACACAATAGTAGATCTTAGACCACCGCGGGCAGGTGGTTTTATTTGGCCCCCCAAGTTTTCTGAGCGATTTATTTTTTTTTAAATGTGTATTATTATTATTATTGGACATAATAGACTGTAAAAACACCAGGAAATCAGCTCCAAGTGATTTTAAAATCTGTTTGGACTTCTTGTGGTCAATTTGCAGTCTACGTTCCGGCCCCCCCGACCATCCGCTCAATAGAAAAATTGGTCTGCGGCTGAATCTAATTGATGATCCCTGTCTTAGACTGTATTTCAAATGTGCAGTGCTCTCTGTTTTGTTTGTGGATAGCCCCATCCACATGGGGTCTAGTATTCCTTTACCTCCCCTTCTACTGTCTGTCTCTCAATAGCATGTTCACCTGTGTTTGTAGTCCTCACTCACTCACTCACACTCCTCTGTCCCTGTTGATGGAACCATGGGCTGACCTAGTGAGAAGAAACCCAGGAATATCTGGACCAAGATGTAAGATATATAATCATTGTCACGTCAAGGATCCATCCATCAAGTCACCGTTTGTCCCATCATCAAAAATTCACCCTGACTGCATTGCCACTCCTTCACCCAATCCTAACCTGTGTGGCTCTCTGTATAGTTGTTTTATTGTGTACTGTATACTCAAAAGAGCTGATGCTCAAGATAGTTCAGGGCCTCATTCAGTGTACGTGAAACCAACAATGTCACCATGTTCAACCATGTTCCACATACTGTATTTCCTATACTTCCCTTCCTGTGTAGACTGTAATGCCCATGGCAAGGCCAAGACTGCAGGGAGCAATCTAATAACAGAGCAGGGTCCAAATGATAGCAGCCTTGGTCTTTCCTCTCCATCTGTCTCTGGATCAGTTCTGTGCGTAGTTTCCTTCTGTGCCTCAGTGTTGTTCCCTGTCTCCCCTCCACAGAAAGAACCTGCACTCTCAGAGTGAGGATGATGAAGAGGAGACTGAGACCGCAGTGAGGGCATGGCCTAGCCAGTCCAGCATCCTCAGTGGAGACGATGGGTGAATACTGATACCTACACATCACCACTGTTAGCTAGCTACATATGACTCCTGCACAAAATGTGTTGGCCAGTGGGTGTCGACAATGTGGTCAGAATGACCTTTCTCATAGCATCAGTGAATGTCTTGAGAGAGGTTATATTGACTGAAATTCTGACACTAGAAGTGCAGAGGTAAAATGTGTGGGTGGGAGACATTTTCCATTTTTATTGGTGCTTTTATTGACACCAACATAAGGAGAGTCTGTGTGGGACTGTGTTGTTAATATTTACTTCAAAAGAATAGTGATGTGTGGTGTCAGGGAAAGTTTTTGGGGCAGGTGCGTGCGTGTGTGTGTGTGCGTTAATTAACCTATGGATGTTTTGTGTTTGAAGGCTAAAGGAGCGCCCTGCGTCGTCCGCTAGCCAGACCAGCTACATGGTGAATGAGCGCCTACAGAAACTGGTCAAGATGTTTAAGGAGAGGACAGAGAGGGCCAAAGAGAAACTCATTGACCCAGATCACTCTGATGATGACAGTCCCACTGCCTGTGAGGAACACAGTTACACTCTGGTCATGTGCTCAATATACACAAAACTTGCAACACATACAGTGAGGGAAAAAAGTATTTGATCCCCTGCTGATTTTGTACGTTTGCCCACTGACAAATAAATTATCAATCTATAATTTTAATTGTAGGTTTATTTGAACAGTGAGAGACAGAATAACAAAAAAATCCAGAAAAACGCATGTCAGAAATGTTATAAATTGATTTGCATTTTAATGAGGGAAATAAGTATTTGACCCCTCTGCAAAACATGACTTAGTACTTGGTGGCACAACCCTTGTTGGCAATCACAGAGGTCAGACATTTCTTGTAGTTGGCCACCAGGTTTGCACACATCTCAGGAGGGATTTTGTCCCACTCCTCTTTGCAGATCTTCTCCAAGTCATTAAGGTTTCGAGGCTGACGTTTGGCAACTCAAACCTTCAGCTCCCTCCACAGATTTTCTATGGGATTAAGGTCTGGAGACTGGCTAGGCCACTCCAGGACCTTAATGTGCCTCTTCTTGAGCCACTCCTTTGTTGCCTTGGCCATGTGTTTTGGGTCATTGTCATGCTGGAATACCCATCCACGACCCATTTTCAATGCCCTGTCTCATCTGACCACAACACTTTCACCCAGTTCTCCTCTGAATCATTCAGATGTTCATTGGCAAACTTCAGGCATATATATGTGCTTTCTTGAGCAGGGGGAACTTGCGGACGCTGCAGGATTTCAGTCCTTCACGGCGTAGTGTGTTACCAATTGTTTTCTTGGTGACTATGGTCCCAGCTGCCTTGAGTTCATTGACAAGATCCTCCCGTGTAGTTCTGGGCTGATTCCTCACCGTTCTCATGATCATTGCAACTCCACGAGCTGAGATCTTGCATGGAGCCCCAGGCCGAGGGAGATTGACAGTTATTTTGTGTTTCTTCCATTTGCGAATAATCTTGTAGCCCATTCCAGCCTTGTGTAGGTCTACAATCTTGTCCCTGACATCCTTGGAGAGCTCTTTGGTCTTGGCCATGGTGGAGAGTTTGGAATCTGATTGATTGATTGCTTCTGGGACAGGTGTTTTTTATACAGGTAACAAGCTGAGATTAGGAGCACTCCCTTTAAGAGTGTGCTCCTAATCTCAGCTCGTTACCTGTATAAAAAGACACCTGGGAGCCAGATATCTTTCTGATTGAGATGGGGTCAAATACTTATTTCCCTCATTAAAATGCAAATCAATTTATAACATTTCTGACATGCGTTTTTCTGGACCAAAATCGAGCTCTTTGGCATCAACTCAACTCGCCGTGTTTGGAGGAGGAATGCTGCCTTTGACCCCAAGAACACCATCCCCACCGTCAAACATGGAGGTGGAAACATTATGCTTTGGGGGTGTTTTTCTGCTAAGGGGACAGGACAACTTCACCGCATCAAAGGGATGATGGACGGGGCCATGTACCGTCAAATCTTGGGTGAGAACCTCCTTCCCTCAGCCAGGGCATTGAAAATGGGTCATGGATGGGTATACCAAAACACACGGCCAAGGCAACAAAGGAGTGGCTCAAGAAGAAGCACATTAAGGTCCTGGAGTGGCCTAGCCAGTCTCCAGACCTTAATCCCATAGAAAATCTGTGGAGGGAGCTGAAGGTTTGAGTTGCCAAACGTCAGCCTCGAAACCTTAATGACTTGGAGAAGATCTGCAAAGAGGAGTGGGACAAAATCCCTCCTGAGATGTGTGCAAACCTGGTGGCCAACTACAAGAAATGTCTGACCTCTGTGATTGCCAACAAGGGTTGTGCCACCAAGTACTAAGTCATGTTTTGCAGAGGGGTCAAATACTTATTTCCCTCTCTGTAGACAGATACAGTTACAAACACACATGGCTTACAAACAATGAGCCTGTTTGACAATACTACCAATAAGAGCAAAACAGGGGAGGGCTGGGTGGGCATACCTCCTCGGCGGCGGTTCTGGCTCCGGCCTTGCCCACCACCCTCCAATAATCCCCCCATAGCGCCCCTGGTCCGGTCTGGCCCCGCTGGCTGGAGCTGACCTGAACGTAGCAGGAACGGCTAGCTTCAGCTCCGTTGTGGAGCAGTTGAGCGGTACCTGATTTGGCACCGATGACCCAGGCACGGGTTGTGCCGGACTGACGACGCGCACCCCTGGCTTGGTGCGTGAGGCAGGAACGGACCGGACCGGGCTGACGATGCGCACCCCTGGCTTGGTGCGTGGAGCAGCAACGGGCCGGACCGGGCTGACGATGCGCACCCCTGGCTTGGTGCGTGGAGCCGGAACGGGCTTTACCGGGCTGATGACTCGCACCCCTTGCTTGGTGCGAGTAGCAGGAACGGGCTGGACCAGGCTGACGACTCGCACCCCTGGCTTGGTGCGAGTAGCAGGAACGTTCTGGACCAGGCTGACGACTCGCACCCCTGGCTTGGTGCGAGTGGCAGGAACAGGCCGGGCCGGGCTGGCGACTCGCACCCCTGGCTTGGTGCGAGTGGCAGGAACAGGCCGGGCCGGGCTGGCGACGCGCACCGTAGGCTTGGTGCGAGTGGCAGGAACAGGCCGGGCCGGGCTGGCGACGCACACCGTAGGCTTGGTGCGAGTGGCAGGAACAGGCCGGGCCGGGCTGGCGACGCACACCGTAGGCTTGGTGCGAGTGGCAGGAACAGGCCGGGCCGGGCTGGCGACGCGCACCGTAGACTTGGTGCGTGGAGCAGGGGACAGGCCGGGCCGGGCTGGCGACGCACCCCGTAGGCTTGGTGCGTGGAGCAGGAACAGGCCGGGCTGGGCTGGCGACGCACCCCGTAGGCTTGGTGCGTTGAGCAGGGACAGGCCGGGCCGGGCTGGTGACGCACCCCGTAGGCTTGGTGCGTGGAGCAGGAACAGGCCGGGCTGGGCTGGCGACGCACCCCGTAGGCTTGGTGCGTGGAGCAGGGACAGGCCGGGCTGGGCTGGCGACGCACCCCCGTAGGCTTGGTGCGTGGAGCAGGGACAGGCCGGGCTGGGCTGGCGACGCACCCCGTAGGCTTGGTGCGTGGAGCAGGGACAGCCGGACTGGGCTGGCGACGCACACCGTAGGCTTGGTGCGTGGAGCAGGGACAGGCCGGGCTGGGCTGGCGACGCACCCCGTAGGCTTGGTGCGTGGAGCAGGGACAGGCCGGGCTGGCGACGCACACCGTAGGCTTGGTGCGTGGAGCAGGGACAGGCCGGACTGGGCTGGCGACGCACACCGTAGGCTTGGTGCGTGGAGCAGGGACAGGCTGAACCGGGCTGTGGAGACGGATAGGAGACCTGGAGTGAAGAGCGGCCACAACCCGTCCTGGCTGAATGCCTACCCTCACACACTCTGTGTGAGGCATCCGCACAGGACGTACAGGGCTGTGTACCCGTACTGGCATAACAGCACGTGACACTGGAGCAGGATATCCGGGACCGCGGAGAGGCATTGGAGACCACGAGCGTTGAGCCGGCACACTCCGTCCTGGCTGCATACCCCCCTTCGCACGACACGTGCGGGGTGCTCGCACAGGACGTACAGGACTATGCCGGCCCACTCGTGGCACAGTACGCCGCTCCGCATACCGCGGAACCTGCCCCGACCCATGCTGCCATGCCTGAGTACGGGAAGTTGGTTCCGCTCTCCATCCAGGCTCCGCCAACCTGCCTTCTGGCCCCCTTAACCCGGTGGCCTCCTCTCCAAATCGCCCTGTGGCAGCCTCCTGCTGCCCAGCCGCCCATGCCGTGTGCCCCCCCCTAAAAAATTTTGGGGGTTGCCTCTCGTCCGTCCGACGATGGCACTGCTGACGCCGCTGCTCCTCTCTCGCCAGGGCCTTAATCCTAGCCCAAGGTCCCTTGCCCCCGAGCATGTCCTCCCAGGACCACGATTTGCCCACCTGGGCCATCGCCAGCCTCTCCATCTCCTTTCCTGGCGCTTCCTCCCATGTCCAGTCTGCCTGCTCCTGGACACGCTGCTTGGTCCTTTTATGGTGGGTTCTTCTGTCACGATCGTCAGGGAGAGACCAATGCGCAGCGTGATGAACGAACATGATTACTTTATTTAATTAAAGTGCACACACAAAACAATAAACGACTCGTGAAGTCCACGGTAACAATGACCGACACGGAACAAGAACCCACAAACACAAAAGGAAAACAGACAGTATAAATATGGCTCCCAATCAGAGACAACCAGCCAACAGCTGACACTCGTTGCCTCTGATTGGGAGTCACTCAGGCCAACATAGAAATACACAACCTAGAACCCCCAACTTAGAAATAGAACACATAGAATGAACACACCCTGGCTCAACATATAGAGTCCCAGAGCCAGGGTGTGACACCCAAAGCAATTGGACATTTCGAAAAAGCTAATAAAAGACACCTGTTGTGAAGTCTTACAGTAGCTTTTATTTCCAAGTGCTAACACACAGTCCATACCATTTTTATGTCTCTGCGTGCAGAGTTGAAGGTAGCAAATTGTTAGCTTAGTGCAATTGCTGGAAGTCTCCAGGAACTACTAACCAGCTCCTCACAAAAGCAGGGAAATAAACCTTCTAACTACTCCAGAGCTGGGTGGTTGGTCATATAGCCTTACAAAGCTATACAGTGGGGAAAAAAAGTATTTAGTCAGCCACCAATTGTGCAAGTTCTCCCACTTAAAAAGATGAGAGAGGCCTGTAATTTTCATCATAGGTATACGTCAACTATGACAGACAAAATGAGATTTTTTTCTCTCCAGAATATCACATTGTAGGATTTTTAATGAATTTATTTGCAAATTATGGTGGAAAATAAGTATTTGGTCAATAACAAAAGTTTCTCAATACTTTGTTATATACCCTTTGTTGGCAATGACACAGGTCAAATGTTTTCTGTAAGTCTTCACAAGGTTTTCACACACTGTTGCTGGTATTTTGGCCCATTCCTCCATGCAGATCTCCTCTAGAGCAGTGATGTTTTGGGGCTGTCGCTGGGCAACACAGACTTTCAACTCCCTCCAAAGATTTTCTATGGGGTTGAGATCTGGATACTGGCTAGGCCACTCCAGGACCTTGAAATGCTTCTTACAAAGCCACTCCTTTGTTGCCCAGGCGGTGTGTTTGGGATCATTGTCATGCTGAAAGACCCAGCCACGTTTCATCTTCAATGCCCTTGCTGATGGAAGGAGGTTTTCACTCAAAATCTCACGATACATGGCCCCATTCATTCTTTCCTTTACACGGATCAGTCGTCCTGGTCCCTTTGCAGAAAAACAGCCCCAAAGCATGATGTTTCCACCCCCATGCTTCACAGTAGGTATGGTGTTCTTTGGATGCAACTCAGCATTCTTTGTGCTCCAAACACAACGAGTTGAGTTTTTACCAAAAAGTTATATTTTGGTTTCATCTGACCATATGACATTCTCCCAATCCTCTTCTGGATCATCCAAATGCACTCTAGCAAACTTCAGACGGGCCTGGACATGTACTGGCTTAAGCAGGGGGACACGTCTGGCACTGCAGGATTTGAGTCCCTGGCGGCGTAGTGTGTTACTGATGGTAGGCTTTGTTACTTTGGTCCCAGCTCTCTGCAGGTCATTCACTAGGTCCCCCTGTGTGGTTCTGGGATTTTTGCTCACCGTTCTAGTGATCATTTTGACCCCACGGGGTGAGATCTTGCGTGGAGCCCCAGATCGAGGGAGATTATCAGTGGTCTTGTATGTCTTCCATTTTCTAATAATTGCTCCCACAGTTGATTTCTTCAAACCAAGCTGCTTACCTATTGCAGATTCAGTCTTCCCAGCCTGGTGCAGGTCTACAATTGTGTTTCTGGTGTCCTTTGACAGCTCTTTGGTCTTGGCCATAGTGGAGTTTGGAGTGTGACTGTTGGTTGTGGACAGGTGTCTTTTATACTGATAACATGTTCAAACAGGTGCCATTAATACAGGTAACGAGTGGAGGACAGAGGAGCCTCTTAAAGAAGAAGTTACAGGTCTGTGAGAGCCAGAAATCTTGCTTGTTTGTAGGTGACCAAATACTTATTTTCCACCATAATTTGCAAATAAATTCATAAAAAATCCTACAATGTGATTTTCTGGATTTTCTTTCCTCAATTTGTCTGTCATAGTTGACGTGTACCTATGATGAAAATTACAGGCCTCTTTCATCTTTTTAAGTGGGAGAACTTGCACAATTGGTGGCTGACTAAATACTTTTTTTCCCCACTGTACATGGTAATCAATATTTTATAAATGTGTTAATTTTACTGATAATCCTAAGAAACAAGATTCTAACCACTTCCTCATTCTGTCCCGTTGTCGCATAGAGATGTATAGAGATCGCAGCGTTTTATCTATCTCAATGCCGCTGCCCGTGCTCTCACAGATGCCATAATGAGACAGATACAACGTTGACCTCTGACCTGTGACTCTCTTCTCTGTTCTCTCACCTGCAGCCCCTGCGAGATCTCCAACACCAACTCCTGCGCCTCCAGAGGAGCCGGAGGAGGAAGCACAACCAGCCTCCCCTGAGAGGGAGGACGAGGAGCAGCAACAGCAACCCCAGTCTAGACTGTGGTGCAAGGTGACACCTCCTCGCTGGATCAGAGCCCTGCTGCACTACCGCTTCCCCGCTAGCATCGACCCCTTCACCAGTGAGCTCCCCCTCCGCCGAGCATACACTACCTCCTCCTTTAACCCTCCTCTCTCATCCTCCTGCTTTCCTCCTCCCTGCTCCTATTCTTATAGTAAACCCTCCTCCTATCCTCTTTTTTTTCTATTGCCATCTCCTGTGTAGACTTCCTTTTGCTTTTATCAGAATGTTAGTTTGGATCCACCAAGTGGTTAATGGGTTGATCTTTCAGTGACCTAAATTGTTGCTCCTGTCATACCTGCTCTTTCTTTTGAAGTATAAGGATGATGCATTAGGGCACTTCAGCCTTTGCTGGGGGTTGACACTGGTTCTCTCTCGCTCTAGATCTGGTCTATGTGCTGTGGCTATTTATCGTCACCTTGGCGTGGAACTGGAACGTGTGGCTGATCCCGATGCGCTGGGCCTTCCCCTACCAGACCCCTAGTAACATCTACCAGTGGCTGCTCGCTGACTACCTGTGTGACCTCATCTACATCCTGGACATCCTGGTCTTCCAGCCCCGCCTGCAGTTTGTCCGCGGTGGAGACATAGTGGTGATATAGCCAGCTTAGGCGACATAACTACAGTTGTTAAATGGCACTATTTTGACATATTCTAAGTAGAGCATGTTGCCAGACGAGGGTTTATGTCTCAAATGGATTTTCCAGACACAGAAATACACGTCAAAATCATTGATGTATGTGTTTTTCTTTGTTTACATTGCAGTTTGACAAAAAAGACATGCGAAAGAATTACATGAAAACCTTCCGGTTCAAGGTAGATTTTCACCTGAAAATGTTGCAGTATTCACTACTGAATAGCTTTGAATAAGAGGTTGTTTTTAAGCCATGTAATGAGGTATCAGTTTATTTTCTGACCGTATCTGTGTCGACTGTGTTTCTCTGGGTTACAGATGGATGTCATCAGTCTTGTGCCACTGGAGTTGTTCTATTTTAAAACTGGAATCAACCCACTCCTCCGCTTCCCACGGCTACTAAAAGTAAGGCTCACCTGCCACCTGTGTAGTCCACCTGGGTAGACTGTGACACATACAATCATATTATTCACACTGCAATGAAAATATGTAATCTTTCTGAATTCTCTTAGATAATGTCTTTCTTCGAGTTCAACGACCGTCTTGAGGCCATCCTGACCAAAGCCTATGTTTACAGGTGAGCACAGTAAACTGTTGTTCAATTCTTTGTACATTATCTGTATCGCCATGCTCAGATCACAATGAATATGATTATATGGACAGGGGGACCTGATCCTAGATAAGCAATCCTATTAGTCTGAGACGCTTTCTGAATGCAGGGCCTGGTCTTTCTGAGAGAAGTGAGGGGCAGCTCAGTATGTATAACCCAGTCTCTTTCCTTCTGTCTGGTTTGATTAGAGTGATCCGGACCACCACCTACCTGCTGTACTGCCTCCACTGTAATGCCTGTCTGTTCTACTGGATCTCTGCGTATGAAGGTCTGGGCTCCACGAAGTGGGTCTATGATGGAAAGGGCAACAGGTGTGTGGATTCACCTTTGTTAGCCTCATATCTTTACACTATCATCATTTAATTGTCCCTATAATCCTGTTTGTCAGTTACATCCGCTGCTACTACTTTGCTGTGAAGACTCTGATCACCATTGGTGGACTGCCGGAACCCACAAAGCTCTTTGAAATCATCTTTCAGCTCATCAACTACTTTGTAGGAGTGTTTGCCTTTTCCATCATGATTGGACAGGTTGGTTACCACATTACTAATAGATGTGTTTGAGAGAGTGCATTATGTAAAATATGATAGTGTGTTTATGGATGAAATATCTAGATGCTATGATATTTGCTGTTTAATAATACTACTACTTGTTATCTAGCTCTGAATCCTTATTTGGACCATTTGTGCTCTTATAAGCTGATTATACTGTTGTCAATGGCTGTTGTGATTGGTGTCGACTCCTGATTGGGCAATGACTGTCTCTTGCAGATGAGAGATGTGGTTGGTGCAGCCACTTCAGGACAGGCATACTACAGAGCATGCATGGACAACACTGTCAAATACATGGCCTCCTACCATATTCCCAAAGACGTGCAGAACCGGGTCAAAACCTGGTACAACTACACCTGGCAGTCCCAGGGCATGCTGGGTAGGGACATGTTACTTTTCATTGGGTTGTGTTGCATTGCTTTGTCTTGTGTTGTGTTGACTCTGTTAGTGTCTGTCTCTATACAGATGAAAAGGAGCTTCTGGTCCAGCTCCCAGACAAGATGAGGCTGGACATCGCTGTGGATGTCAATTATGACATCGTCAGTAAAGTCTCTCTCTTCCAGGTGCGTAAGTCTTATGGCCTCTTCAGGCTGTCTCAGACCACAGAAGATTTAAACAGCTCTATCTCTCTATATTTCTCAGTCAGCGCTTCTTCTCCCTTTCAGGGTTGTGATAGACAGATGATCTTTGACATGTTGAAGAGTCTGAGGTCTGTTGTTTACCTCCCAGGGGACTATGTCTGCAAAAAGGTAAAGGCTAAAGCTAGATGCAGTAGCTTTGCCACTTCTCTAGCGTGTTTGTTCGCATGCATTTCTGTTTGAATGTATTTACTGTGCAGTTTGTATGCACTCTGCTCCTTCTTCTTTGTGTAAGGCAAACTGAAAAGAACAGGAGGTCTGTCCAGTTGTCTGACTGCCCCTCTGTGTTTCAGGGCGAGGTTGGACGGGAGATGTACATCATCAAGGCCGGGGAGGTGCAGGTGGTGGGCGGGCCAGACGGGAAGACTGTGTTTGTCACGCTGAGGTCGGGGTCAGTATTTGGGGAAATCAGGTGAGCATCCTGATGTCAAGTCTGACGTGTGCTATTTATGTCACTGAAGCAAGGACACACATTTTATCCAGGGAATGTACTTTTTCCTAATTAAATGTTTTCTCTTTGGGTTGAAAGCTTGCTTGCAGTGGGTGGAGGAAACAGGAGAACAGCGAACGTGGTGGCTCATGGCTTCGCCAACATGTTCATCCTGGACAAGAAGGACCTCAATGAGATTCTAGTGCATTACCCCGAGTCTCAGAAGCTGCTCCGCAAGAAGGCCAGGTGAGAGAGAGGAAAAAGTGACTAAAACCGACTTTATTTATTTATGGGAATCCACTGATATTATGGCTGCCTTGAAGTTCACATTTGTTAGAGTGTACTGTAGTACACTATAGGAATTAATGATTGTTTGATGTTTCTGTCTACAGGAAGATGCTGACAAAAGACAAGAAGCCGGAGCCTCCGAAGGAGCCAGCCCAGGTGATCCCTCCTCGGACAGAGACACCCAAGCTACTCGTTGCTGCTCTGGAGATGGCTCATCAGAAAACAGGCCTCAAAAGGACCCTCGCCAAGATAAAGGAGAACACCAACAAATCCAGCGTTTCTCTACAGGTATGGTATTTGCTGTACAAAAACACACACATTGTCTATACACACACAACGCACCCACCCACACACACTTGTATGCTCTAAATGAACTAACCTCTCCGTTTCCCCACAGCCCTCAATGTCCTCCTCCCTGACTCCCCTGTCCCCAGTCTCTCCTGTCTCCAGTCTGGACCCAGAGCACAAGACTGGCACCATGTCCCCAACCTCAGACAGCTCCACGTCGCTCTGCCCCGCCTCCCATTGTCACAGAGATGAGACGCTGTCCAAGGAGCAGGACAACGTGGAGGAAGAAGAGGCAGGAGAGAGTGGGAAGAGGAAAGAAAAGCGAAAGCCATGAGTTGTCTCCAAAAGCTTTAAGAGCTGTCTTCATGTGGAGAAAGGGATGCAGTCGTTTATCCCTCTGTACTCTGTTGCAGAGAGGGAGACCAGAGAGAAGAGCCATGGGTCCTAAAGATCATCCAATTACGTCATCCAATTATGTCTCAGGAGTCAGAGTCACAGTTCCTGTTCCATTATACCTATAGACTCTTTTTTTTTTTACCTCACTGACTATTTTATCCCCTTGATACTTATGTATAGGGCCTAGGCTACCTAATTCCATAGGGATGTCAAACGGGTGCTAAACTGATGTCTTTGTGTTTACAATCCCAGGGGTAAATGTACCGATCAGCAATAATTGACACAGACATCATCTCGTTAGGGGGATAACAAAGCAGTCACACAGGGTATAGCTGTGTGTGTGTGAGGAGTGTGTGTGTGTGTGTGTGTGGGGGGGGGGGGGGGGGGGGTCTTCTGCCTAGGTCTTCTGTTCTGTCTGCTTTCGGAAACAAATTCCTTCTAAACCTTAATTTTTGTAAAGTTTGTTCCTGTTTTATTTATTCAGCACCGGGAGAAATGTGATTGGGAAATACTATAAAGATGTTGGAATATGAGGAAAGATTTTGCTGACGTTTATAAGAAATGTTTACGTTTTGTAAAGATGACCAGTTGTTTTAGAGTTTTGTTCAATGGAATATGTTATTTTTGCCTTATTTGTCATGGCCCTTGAGGTAATGTTTAGTGTTTCTGGGGTGAATGGGTCAAATATGTATATTTTTTTCAACTGAAATGTTAGAAAATTTAAATAAATGTCAGCTTGTAAATCTAAATATTGTTTTGTATGTGCACAGGTAGCAGTGCAGCTAATGATTTAATCAAGACTGGTATACTGTCAGTTCACCATGCCAGACAATCAAATATTTACTTTTAAGCAGTGCAGCTAATCATTTAATCAAGACTGGTATACTGTCAGTTCACAATGCCAGACAATCAAAGATTTACTTTAGCACCGACAGCTATAGCTAACAAAGTAATTTGGAATTTAGCTGAACAAATTATGACAATAGTTACAACAGTTTTTTGACATGACGGGTATGTTTAAAATAACTGTTTATCATTTTTTTTACTATCTTGACAGATCAGAAGAAGACTCATGTCCACACTCTATACATGTACATTACAAGTTTGATATTATTTCTATCATACTGTTAATCAAATGCTGTTTTCATAAGTTATTGGCGTGTAAATACATTGTAAATGGAAAACTAAATGGTGTGTATTTTACATTAGTTTTTACAGGGAAATACTTAGACCCTTGTGTGTTAGTTTTTCAGAAATCAATGCAAAGGTTTTACATAATTATCTAGATCCTATATTCCCCCTTAGAATGCATAGGGTCAAAAAACCAGCTACCAAAACTGCCAGACAATCTGTAGATTGAATGTGAATATTGTTATCATGTTGGTTGACTACATTCTTTATGTGGTCCTCCTGTAGCTCAGTTGGTAGAGCATGGCGCTTGCAGGGTTGTGGGTTCGATTCCCACGGGGGCCAGTATGAAAAATGTATGCACTCACTAACTGTAAGTCGCTCTGGATAAGAGCATCTGCTAAATGACGTAAATGTAAATGTGTGTGTGTAGGTCAGTGGATCCCAAACCTTTTTGGTTACTGTACCACCAACTGAATTTTGCTCTGCCAGGAGTGCCCCATGTGCATTTTACCAGTAGGCCTATGGTCTCATGAATCTTCTCAAGTACCCCCTGTGGATAGGCCAAGTACCCCCAGAGGTCTTAGTATTGCTCATTGGGAACCACTGGTGTAGGTGACAAAAGCTGGTATGCAACACATGCTGAGAAAAATAGCATTTGTGAAGCACCACTCAGCAAATCTGAATGCGTTGAAATCACCATGATTTTACATTTTAATCATTTAGCAGACGCTCTTATCCAGAGCAATTTACAGTTAGTGAGTGCATAAATTTTTCATACTGGCCCCCCGTGGGAATCAAACCCACAACCCTGGCGTTGCAAGTGCCATGCTCTACCAACTGAGCTACAGGAGGCCCATGATAAGTGTTTGATGTTTTTGTGGATTCTTTTAAAAATAAATCATTATGTTTTCACTTCGTCATCTTTGTGTGGTTGAGTGATATTACTGCTGATATGAAGCTTGAGAAATTGATATCGGTTTACAGTGGGAAATGGACACACCACAGTAACATAACTCACAAACAAATCAGTTTTAATGTATACATCCTTTTAGCTCGATTTATACAATTACCAGCTTAATAAAACTGCACAGTGATGTGAGTCTGAAAATGACGCGGAGAAAAAAAAATAGTAAAGCAGCTAGCTAACAACTACCTTTTCCAGAAAGCCCCTCGGTGTCTAGGGCTTTATTTCACTTTCTTAGAGGAGCAGGACTAATGAACAGAATGTAATGTAGGTAGGCCGTGACTGGCCTCACACTCCAGTACAGTAGCTAGATGGCAGTGTATGCACCTTAAAAGTTGGATGCCAACCCAACCAAACCCAGGGGAAAAAGATGGCGGAAGCAGATGATGAAGTGGATTCTGAATCGAATGGCGGTAGAATCAAGGAGAATTGGAACATTGTCCAAAAGAAAGGAAAACGGTGCAAAGTAGACTACAGTGATGAGAATGTCTCTTTGTATCTTGTAGGAGTACAGTTTGTAAATGAGGAGCAGCTGATCGAATTACCATTCTTGAGGAATCCATTTGAGATATCCGAACTGGTGGAGAGAGTGCTGGGTAGAGTGAAGGCTGTGAGGATCACGAGAGACGGGCTGGTTTTGATTTTTTGTGCTTCTGAGGATCAGAAGAAACGTGTGTTGAGTCTCACCTGATTTGATACGTTTGAAGTGTTGTGTGTGTCTCTTAGGAACAGGGCACCCCTCAAGGGGGTTATACCTGGAGTCTCGTGGGAAGTAGATGTTGAAGAGATTAAAAATATTCCTGGAGTGATTGATGCACGTCGGATGAATCGTGTGGTGAATGAAGAAAAAGTGAAGAGTATCTGTTCTTTTGTTTTTTGATTTGGAGTCTCTCCCTACTCAAGTGCAGTTAGGGTATATCAACTACAGAGTCCGAGCATTTATCCCAAGACCAAGATCATTGTAAAGCTTTTGGTCATGTTTCAAGTGTTTGCAGAAGGGAGAAGCCGAGATATCCAAATTGTGGAAAATATAATATTATGTGTTAATAAAGTGATGAAAATGTGACATGTTGCAATTGTGGTGGGAACCATGAATCCACATCTTTTGAATGCCCCACAAGGGTGAAAGAGAATGAGGTGGCCAAAGTCAGGACTGTCCAGAGCATTTCATATGCAGCAACTGTGAAAAGGGTTGAGGGTTTGAATGGTGCACCTGAAGAGTCCATGGTGGTGGATAGGCCTTCACTGCAGGATCCTGACATTTTAAAGGTTAAGAAGGTGGACTTTGTGGCCTTTATAGCTATGGCGATAAATGGCACTGCCAAGGTGGAGAGAAGGTCCAGGAAGATATAAATCATTGTGGAAGCGGCGGAGCGGTTCCTGGGGCTGAAAGATTTCTCAGCGAAGGAGTTATATAGATTAGTCACAAGCCGAACTACCCTCTCAGGCCTAGAGCCTGAGAAGGGAGATATGGAGAATTGAAAGAAGGAAGAAGTGGGAGTTGTATTTGTTTTCTCAATGTACTATTTATATTTGGGTAGATTAAGTTAGTTTCCCTATCACGTATGGATTTTCTTTTTACCTTGTTTTGGTTTCAGCCCGTCCAGTTGGTGGCGGCAATACTGCTTTTTGGGTTGTAGTCCGCCATAAAACCCACAGAAGAAGAAGAAGAAGAATCCCAACCCAATCCCGAAGAAGAAGAAGCCGAAGAAGAAGCCGAAGCCCCTCGGTTTTAGTGTTACGTCAGAATGTTTGTTGTGATCTGCAGTCAGTTGAGGGACCATCTGTGGCGCTGGCAAAGTAAAGAGGGTGATGATCGTGATGACATCTTCGTGCTCTAAATTAAATAACTGTTGTTGAAGTGAGAAAATTGAAACGCATCAAAGAACTCAACATGGTGAACCAGGTCTGATTGGGACGTGAATTAATGAAACTAGCAAGATTGAAGATAGCTAGCTAATGTAATGTAAACTAGCCAGAGAGAACTAGCTAGTTGGATAGCTGCCGTTAACGTTAGTTAGCTGACAGCACTTGATGTTGTAGCTAGCTCATCAGCTAAAATTGGAATTGAAAATGCTTGACAGGTATTGACATGATCGATATAATGAAGGACTACACTCCATCTTGTAATCCAAGGATTTGACTGGGGATGAGAGACATAACCATGGAAACGCCTGAGTTACCTCTTGAGGTAAGACTAGCAAATAGGATAGTAGCCTGCTTCATAAAATGACATTTAGTGTCACTGAGGATGTGGTTGTCAATGCTTTGGGTGTCTTGACTAACACGGTTGTATCAACAACTTAATATGCTACTACCAGCTAGCTAGCTAACAAGTTATAATGCATTGAGACACACCTTATATGATCAATTTCCTTATGCATGGCACTATGATAAAATTGTTGTAAAAGACCTGGTGGTCCAATCAACTTCCTGTCTAGATCATCACCTACATCCTAAGTTTCCTCAAAGCATCAGACAGGAAGGAAGCCTCTCTGGTCTGCTGGAGCTGGTATGATGCGAGCCAAGACCTCCAATTTCAGGTACTACTCTATTCCACAATTTCCCCTTAATCTCACTAATTTCATAAATCTAACTAACAGCCTAATCCTAACTCTGACTCCATTTTCCAGAGGAATCTCACCTTCAAGTTCCCAGCCTCCATCTCCTCCCTGGATCTGATCCGGTGCCTGAGTAGGCGTTCCCGCTGCAGCCTGGTTATAAGCCACCTGGATGGCTCCAGTATGTCCCGGGCTGTGCTGCAGGGGATAGGGCTCCATCTGGGCCCTCGGCTGGAGAGCCTGGCCCTGCCAGGGAGCAGCGTGACCGAGTCTTCCCTCCTGGCCCTGCTGCCCCACCTGACCGCCCTGCGCAGACTTGACCTCCATGGCCTGGACAGCCTCTTCATGTCTGGAGCCTTTCTGTCCAGAGAAGAACACCGCCAGCAGGTCAGACCATGTAGGCTGGAGATGATGATTCTTTAAAAAAAAGTATTTTTTACACATGCCAGTTTTTAAATGAGTTTGTCCTTTTCCTAGGTGCGGGTAGCTTTAGCAGGTCTTGAGGAGCTGGATCTCTCTGACCTGCGCTATCTATCAGACCTCACCTTCAACCGTCTCACAGGCTGCACTCTCAGACTTCGCCGTCTCTCCCTGGCCGGCTGCCACATCGCTTTTGAATTTGACCCGTACCGTGGCTGCCCCGTGGGGCCTGACTCCTCTGCCCTACTCTCCCTACGGAACCTCCGCAGGCTGCTGCAGGAGCAGGCCTCCACCGTGCGGGGGCTGGACCTGAGCAGAACCAGCATCACCCCAGAGTCACTGCGCTCCGTGGCCCAGGTAGGGGGCCTGTCTCTGGAGGAGCTGCGTCTGCGGGGCTGCAAGGAGCTGACAGACTACTCTGTGGAGGTGCTCTGCAAGCACCAGCCTGGCCTCCGGACCCTGGACCTCAGCGCCTGCACAGAGCTCACCAGCCGGGCTGTACTGGCTGTGGCCCTGGGCCTGAAGGGCCTCCGGCTCCTCTCTCTGTCCCGGGACTGGAGGGTGACGGATAAAGGACTGGCTGACCTGATGACGCTGCCAGAGCTGAAGATCCTGGATCTGTCTGAGTGCCTGCATGTCAGTGGGGCCGAGATAGTGAAAGGGCTCTCTGCCCCGGAGCCCAGGGCACGGCTGGAAACCCTCAGCCTCAAGAGCTGCACCTATATCAGGGTCAGTGTGTGTGCTGCTCTCTCCCTCACATTACTATGACTTTACCTGAGCTGTTTTACCTGACTCTTTTAGGATTTATCTTTTATAGAATGAAATGTTTATCAGGACATCATCTCTCATGTTCCTTTGTTTCCCATCTCTCTCAGGACCTGGCTGTGTTCTCTCTGGCTCGGCTGCTGGGCTCCAGTTTGCGGGAGCTGGACCTCACCTCCTGCGTCTACCTCACAGACCTGAGCGTGCGTGCTATCGCCACCTACCTGCCCGGGCTGGTGGTGCTGCGATTGGGCTGGTGCAAGGAGATCACAGACTGGGGGCTGCTGGGCATGGTGGAGCCCACCAAGGAGTGTGAGCCCAGCAAGGAAATGGTAAGAGAGGGCTGGGTGGGGAGAAGTGTAGAAGTCTTGGGAATAGGATATAAGAAAGCAGACCTGTGGGAGTGTGCAAGCTACAAGCGTGCATGTGAGAATGAATGTGTGTGATAGACAAGGGCCTTTAGCCTGTTCCTGTGATTGTGCCAGAGCAGAACGCTGTGTTCAGCAGTCAGCCACTCAGAGGAAATCTCTCCTTATTCTTCTCCAAACAGGAAATGGCCTCCCAGAGAAGTGCTGTTTCTGGCGTGACGAACGCTAGAGAAGTACCTTTGTAGAAGAGGATGTGAATGTGAATCCTTGCCTACTCTTGTTTCTTGATTTGAGCTCCCAAGTTGTGGTAGGCTTCAGACAGACAGAACCTTGTGAGGTAACTCTGTGCTGATACTAGTCTGATTAGATCTGGTGATGATGGGCCCCGTGTAGCTCAGTTGGTAGAGCATGGCGCTTGCAACACCAGGGTTGTGGGTTCGATTCCCACGGGGGGCCAGTATAAAAAAAGAAATGTATGCACTCACTAACTGTAAGTCGCTCTGGATAAGAGCGTCTGCTAAATGACTAAAATGTAAAATAAGTAGACTAGCTGGTCTTGTCTGCGCTTATATTCATGTTACCACCACTGTAGTTTACTACAGCCATGCACCCCTGACCTTTATCTGACCTTCAACCTCTCACCCTGACACCTTGCAGGAGCACAAGGGGCCCAGCTTCACCTGTACTTTTGGGAACATGGGTTTCTTCCGGCCTCCCAGCAAGCCCTTGCAGGAGAAGCCCCGGCTGGTGACGGACGAGGACCTGGGGGTGTTCAAGGAACAGGAGGGGGCCTCACTTCTGGCCCTCAGGAGCCTCCAGGAGCTCGACCTGTCTGCCTGCTCCAAACTCACTGACAGTAGCATCACACAGGTTGGTCTACCATGAGAATATACAGGCTATGGTTAGGGCAAGGAGTTTTTCCTGACTGGGCAGAATTAACCCTTGGCCCTAGTTTTAGGTTTTTCCTGGTCAGGTTAAGAAACACTCCATTTAAGGGACACGTTTAAAAAAACGTAATATTCATAATCTCCAGCACGACCCCAACATCAACATATGTGGAAATGCCGTGTTTCTATGTTTTGTAGTATAGAAGATAGAGGAAGATAAGTGTTTCCAATGACATCATCGGTGTGCGTCGTGTGATTTCTTTTTTTTTTTTTACCAATTGTGAGTAGGCATTGCCTACTAATTGTCTACTAATTGGTTGATGATGTCATTGGAAATACCCATCTTCCTCTATCTTTTTTTTACTACAAGACATAGAAACGTGCCATTTTCACATATGTTGATAATGGGGTAGTGCTAGATACGATGAATATGAAGTTGAACAATTTGACAATTTCCCTGTAAGTGGTTGACGTCCTGTGTCCATTGAATGGGGAACCTTAGTTAACCGGGCAATTGTTGTTGTGAGCAGGTGCTGCGTTATCCAGACCTCCAGCGCCTCTCTCTCTCCATGCTGCCTGAGATCAGTGATGACAGCCTGGCGTCGGTGGCCTACCACTGCCGCAGCCTCACCAGCCTGGCACTCAGCCACTGCCCCCAGATCAGTGACCAGGGTATCGCCCGCGCCGCCCCCTACCTCGCCAGGCTGCAGCACCTCTACCTGTCCTGCTGCGACACAGTCACAGATAGGTGAGACACGCACACAGAACCCCAGAGAGACAGACTGTGTTATCTGTGTATCAGGGTTTGACAGCAGTGAACTCATACTCCCAACAGGTCTCTCTCCATGCTCGTCCAACACTGTAAGAGACTGCGGACGCTGGACATCTCCATGTGTAAAAACATCTCCATAACAACGGTGGACCTCCTCCAATCACAGCTGCCCTTCCTAGAGAATGTCCACTGCCGCTTTGTGGGCGGAGCTGACCTGACCCTCACACTCTGATAGGGTTCTGACTAGGTGGAATAGAGCTACGACTAGAAGTGACTTTGTCGTAGCAGGTTAGGAGAACTTATGCACCAGGTTAGGATAAGTAATGGATTAGGTTAGGAGAATGAGGTTAAGGTTAGGAAAAGGGTTAGCTAAAATGTTCTCCTAACCTGCTACAAAAAGTAACTTCTGGTCGTAGCTGTACTCGATTTAGTCACAACCGTCTGATAGGTTGAATGTCCCCCAAAAAACATTTATCCAGAAAAGTTCTGCTTGAATCACAATTCAGTACCTGCTCTTATTATCCAGAGTTTATTTGTAATAGATTCAGTAATTTATCTTAGTTTTAACCCCTGTAAACACCTAATATGGGGTGAATGTATTACTCAGTAAGGACCCATAGTGCCAATTTCTTAGACTCAAATTAAGTCTTTAAAAATCGGGTGTCGGGTCCTCAACGTACTGTTGAGCACAGGAGATTGGTTAGTGGCACCTTAATTGGGGAGGACGGCTCGTGGTAATGGAATGATCAGTGGTGTTTGATGCTATTCCATTTGTACCGTTCCATCCATTATTTGGTTGTGCATCAGCAGTCACTCAATTATCCCATGTCAGCATTTTTCTTTTTTTTATTGGTAAGTTAGTCTAGCGGCCAGCTATCTGAACTTGTAGTAAGCATGGTCGAATTACCGACCGGGGTGGGACCCATTGATCATCAGTTATCATATTAAAAACGGCAAACATTTGCCTCCACCCTATGGCAAAATGTGTAGAATTGCAGGAAATTAGCTGTAAAACATATGTTTTTTAAATCTTTGCTGTCACGAGGGGGGCTGCTAAAATGATTTACTTGGGGGGGGGGAATATGGATGTGGGTACGCAGACCCACGAGCCACTGTGGACCCTCATGATGAGCCCCCACCCCCATCAAAGTTGCCCATTCCTGGTGTAAGCCGTGTGAAATAAGGACACTGTTAATCTCAAGGTTTTAGTTTGATTAGAATTAGTCTGGTTTATGGAGCTGAGGAACCAAATCGGTAGATACTGCACGAACCTTTAACTGGCATAGAAGATGTTCTCTGATTAAAAAGCACCTTGTAGTTGATCTCAGAACCCAGATCTTCTGTGTTCAGTCTTAAATGGCCACACTGTAGAGAAATATTGATATCTATTTATCATTTTAAAAAATTGTTTAGCTGGCTTAAGTAATTTTGTATTCAACTTAAGTTAACACTGCCACTGAAGGAAGCAAAACTGTTAATGTTTATTTGAAAACGTAAAATTATATATGTATCAAATTTTAAGATTTAATTGTTTCAATAAATGTATGCTTATCTGTTGCTTGGAATCATCTATGAGTTCATGAGTAATTTGTTTCTTATAGTTTTCTACCAGACCATAAACCAAGCTAGACAAGGACAATCTGTATAAATCATATTTATTTATTAATGCAACACTGATCTTAGTAAAGCATAAATTAGGGGTTACCACGGAGATTGGGTGTTTAACATGAATGGACATGCAATGAACAGCAAAATCACCCCAAACTCCAGGTAAGACCAGATTACTGGCTAAGGAAAAATCAACATTTGAATTTATGATTGTTAGCTGGCTACAAAAATCCATTATTATTATTATTCATTGGCCGATGAGATTTTGAATACGAAAAGTTGAAGGTCCATCATACTGACAGGACTTGTTTACTGTTGTACAGTATATTACAGTAAAATTTGATGAGGTCAGATTTATCTGCCAGGATCATTCATAGTCATGAAAATAAAGCCCAAGTACCCTACAATAACATCAATATTTTGTTTTTTGTTTTTAGTCATTTAGCAGACACTCTTATCCAGAGCGACTTACAGTTAGTGAGTGCATACATACATACAATAAAAAAAAAAAATCATACTGGCCCCCCGTGGGAATCGAACCCATAAACCTGGCGTTGCAAATGCCATACTCTACCAACTGAGCTACATTCCCTCCCCTACCCTGGACAACGCTGGGCCAATTTTGAGCCGCCCCATGGATCTCCCGGTTGCGGCCGGCTGAGACAGAGCCTAGATTCGAACCAGGATCTCTAGTGGCACAGACCACTGCGCCACTCAGGAGGCCATAAAGTTACATTACATTTTAGTCATTTAGCAGACGCTCTTATCCAGAGCCACTTACAGGAGCAATTAGGGTAAAGTGCCTTGCTCAAGGGCACATCGACAGATTTTTCACCTAGTCGGCTCGGGGATTAGAACCAGCAACCTTTCGGTTACCGGCACAACGCTCTTAACCACTAAGCTACCTGAACTAATATCCATTTGTTATGGACTGAAATTCATAACGTACCTATAAGAGCCTTTGTCCTCAGCTCCAAAAAACTTTGCCAGGCTTGTAGCTAAATAATTTGTCAGTGATACATAACACTTTAGCTACGTTATTTGTATAATGTACCATAAAAGCAGGTGGTTGACCCATTGATCAAGTTATTTGCTCAATAAAACCCCATTGCCTAAGATTGAACCATTTGAACAATAGCCATCAAACCTAATGGCAACCTTAAATAAAACATACAGAAGATCAATCAATCATGACCATCATCAAAACCAGCTCATGGGAGGCTCTCTGAGGTATTCTATTTAAAAGTGCTCCTCTTGAGCCAATGAAACTCAATAAAATACTATCTGCACACAGTTAAAAATAGGATTTAATATATTATAAATAGGGATTTGAATAGGCTTGGAGCTGAGTATCTGTTATTCAACTCATTAAAGTACCACTTTAGAAGAGGGAGTAGGGATTCTGTTTGAGTAGGTCAAGTTAAGTACAATGTCAGAAATCCAAGGGATTCTGTCTCAGAGACAGTATATACACAAATATATGTATATGGCTCTGTTCTGCCTCAGTCCTTGGGTTGAGTACCTTCAGAAGAGCTGTCATGCATCCTGCCTCACAAAGCTTTCAGTTTATGGAAATCACACCCGAGAAAAGTAGAAAAACAAACATAGATATGACAACAATGAAACGAACTCTCCGCCTAAAGACAATCCACAGAGGAGCGTGGAGGACAGGAGCCATGGAGAGGTGTAGTCAGATGTCAGGACGGGAGATGAACTGAAGTAAAGCTAAAGCCTCAAGTATCCAACAACAGAAAACATACTCTCACTGTACAGTTACAATACACTTGTGTGACCACTCCAATAGAACCCAAGGAATTGTCTTCAGCCTTGATTCCGCTCATATAAGATGAAACCTTTGCCTATGCATTAGATCAACTTTGTCCATACAGTCCTCCATGTCCACTCCTCCTGCTGTGTAGATGTGTACTAGGGTGCAATTAATGACATGAAACATTCTGAACATTGCAAATAGAAATAGAATGAATAGAGCTGACACAATTGCCTATTCCACAGACGACAGACTATTATATCTGTTCTAATTCATACATTTCTATCTGAGCATTCTGTAACGTTACATCATGAACAGGCCCGAGGTCTACTCCTCTGCCCTTCCATGCCCTGGCCCCAGGCCTACTGCTCAGCCTGGCTGAAGTCGTAGCAGAAGTTGAAGTTGCTGGGGGGTTTGGGCACCGGCGGGGCAGTGTCTGGGATGGGCACGTTCTCCAGATCCAGGAGGCGGAGCTTGATCTCCATAGAGAGCAGGATCTCCAGCTCGCTCCTCATGCACTCACTGCTCATGTCCCGTCCCAGGAGCACGCTCAATCCATCCGTCCACAGGCAGAACTGAGAGCGAGACAGAGATCATCTTTGTTATTCGACCATAATGTTTACTTTGGTAGTGTATGTGCTTTAACTTTCCACACCAAGTTGAATTGAGATTAAGAGGGACGAGAGATAGAGATATAGACAGAGAGAGCGAGTGAGAGAGAGAGACAGAATGATCTATGTGAACGAGTACAGACACTAGCTCCTGTGACATCACTACTCACGTCTGTTCTGGATGAGGCAATAAAGTTGAGGCTGTACTCCTCCACGTCATATGTGATGCTGAATGCCAGGTCCAACACTTCCTGCAGAAGGACACAGCACAATGTAGTTTATGGAGGGCCAGGTACATAGTGTGAAAGAGGAAGTTAGGGCTAGGGCCGAGGGAGTGTTCAGGGGCCGTTGTCGGTGGAGAAAGTGATGGTGGTGCACTAACCTTGGTCTGTTTGCCCTTGTACTCCTTCATGTGAGGGCAGTCTTTCCCTGTCAGCAGTGCTTTGATATCTGCCACAGGAACTGCGAGAGAAAACGAGGAAGAGCAGGTTTACCGGCATACCTCAGCTTTAAACACAGAGCCAATGTAATTTCAGTGTCGAGGCCATAGAATTAAGGATTACAACACTCATTTAATAGAATCTCTATGGTCAAGGCAGTGTCAAGGCTACAGTGGAAGAGTATATTGCTGTTAGTAATAACTCACTCTTCTCCTGGAGACTCTCGATGGTGGGTGTTTCTGTGTCCTCCACATCGCCAAAGTGCAGGACTTTGTGATTGGGCGACAAGCGACAGTGCCACAACTTATCTGAAATGACCAATAATAACAAATCATCAGCATGATGTAAGAAAGGCCAGCTATCTGGCTTCATCTACCATCCTTCATTAGTCTCCCTATTTTTCATTGTGTAGGGCTGTCCTGGTAGCTTCCCCCTTTACTTATATCTCTCAATTTCTAATGTGCATGCTCTTAACCTGTCCACCCCTCTCACAGAGGTGCGAGTGGTCTCACCCTGTCTGCGTCGGCTGCTGATCTTGCGGAAGAGGGTTCCCTGACACAGGCGGTTCAGTCTCTGCTGGCGAATCAGCTCCAACAGGTCTGGCTTCAGTCGCTCCTTCAGCTCTCTACAGGGGACAGGGGTAGAGACATAGAGTCACACCCACTGCAAGTACCATAACACACTCAACATTATTCAATTCAATGAGCTTTATTTGACGTATTAAGTCAGTAACTTGCATTGCAAAAGCAAGGACATATGAATAGATATGGACCAGATGGGATGAGGACAAGTAGGTAAGGTCAGTGCTGCTTGGTTGACTGGGAATGTGTAATTGGGTGTGTAGAATGGGCTGTGGACCTGTGACTGGGAGGGTCACATGACATTTCCAAGCTGTTTGGTGACAAACAGGGCAGACGCAGAGGATAGCAACAGCACTGATTCTGATTCCATAGGGGTGAAAAATACTCTGGACCAGAGACAAAATGGTACACGCTGAAGTATATACACACACACACACTAAAGGGGCTGATCCCTGCCCTCTACGGGCCATTGGAGGAAGTACCGGCTTACGAGGGTTTGTGTGTGTCATAGAGAGAGCAAGAAAAATATTCTGCTGAACAATTTAAGGACTTACAATACAGGCGGAGCGAGGGTCTCTTCTTGGTGCAACCGCTCCGTCTGGCGTAGTTTGAGGATCTCACTGTAGTTCAGGGCATTCACCTTATTCTTAAACAGCTCCAGAGACGTGGGCTTACTGGACAGCGTCCTGGTGATCTGCTCACGCACAACCTGCATTACCTACAGATGGACAGAGTCAGTCAACATTGATTATTTAAAGAGAAAACACACCAGCTATGTTATGACTGTAGACATGGTTTCTCTGGTGGGTTATAAGACAATTCAAAAGCCCTTAGGTGGGTCACAATGCAAACAAGTTTGGGAACCATTGAGTTATATTAAAGTATACAGTATATCTTAGTGTATGTACTGTATATGTTTTCATATATTTCAGTAGATAGCTATTGTGTGAATGTGGGTTTGAGTTGAGAGAAAGCAGACTGTTCCCGCTCTTTGCACTGCTGGGCACAGTGACGCTTACACACTCAGACAAGGCTTGACCTCGGTCACCCCAAAACAAGAGCTCTCTGAGGCGAAGGCCACATGACAAACACAGGAGAGAGGAAACGCGGAAGGGTGCATGTGCGTGCGTGCATGTGAGAGAGGAAAATCTATGTTTCTCTCTACCAGCTTTGGCCACAGTTTCAAAATCCATCACAGAAATCTATGAGAACACACCAAACCCAACACAATTCGATCAACCCCCACTCACACTTTCCTCCCTTCGGTCTCTCTCCCTTTATCTCTCTCCGTCTCAGTGTGTCCATACTCTGAATGTCTCTCAATGACACTGCTCTTGACAGCAAATCAGCCGTCGCCATGGGAATGTCATTTTTTTTGTGCATCATGGTAACCCCATACCCCCTCCAAAGTACAGCAGCACTTTCATGAAATGATACTGCATGTACAGATTTGTTGAGCACACAATAACCATGAATTACAGAGTATCCATGGAGAGCCCAGTATCTATGGAACAAGAAGTATGGCGCAAACAATGTTTAGCAATGGAGCCCTCTATGGAGTAAGTAGTATCTGCTGTGCATGCAGCACGCATCAGGCACAGTTGTATTTACCAGCAGAAAGTATATTTGGACCAATTCATCCCAATGCCTCTGTGCTGATGTTAAATCTAAAATAATCAAGCCTCAAAAGAAATTAGAGGTAATAGAATGCAAAACATAACAAAATACAGGTAACTGCCAGAATAAAGAAAACACTTGAGTAAATGGGGGATACAAAGTATATTGAAAGCAGGTGCTTCCACACAGGTGTGGTTCCTGAGTTAATAAAGCAATTCAAACATCCCATCATGCTTAGTGTCATGTATAAAAATGTCCAGTTGCACATTATTTTGGCTACCATGGCTAGAAGAAGAGATATCAGTGACTTGAAAGAGGGGTCTCAAAGGAGCAGAGGGGGTTTAAAGGGTGTGAGTGTGTTCGCGTCTCAGAGTAACAGAGACTGCCCTAGCGGTGGAGGTTTCAGTGAGGAGGCAGACAAATGGACCCAGTGCAGTGCCCAGGGGTGGGCTTTTATTAGTGGAGAAGAGGCACCAAAACTATGTACACCTATGTACAAACAAAATAAACATGCTCAGTTGGTAGAGCATGGCGTTTGCAATGCCAGGGTTGTGGGTTCGATTCCCATGGGGGGCCAGTATGATTTTTATTAATTTTTTTATGTATGCACTCACTAACTGTAAGTCGCTCTGGATAAGAGTGTCTGCTAAATGACTCAAATGTAAAAATTGGTAAACTGAAAATATATCAAGGTTGAGCTCAATAAACACCAGGCCTCAATAATACCTGTCCGCAACCATGTAGCAACCTGTCCCCTCTCTGCCCAAGACTTAAGTATGGTACCTGGGATACTTCTGCATGGACCATACCATTACAACCAATAACAAATGAATGGCATAAATACACAAATGAAATTATCAATCACCATATTCAGGAAATCACATTGACAATTCAGATATACACACACTTCAATTAATAGTGCAGAACCCTGCATAAACCAGAAATAACCCCAGGGAACATTCATATCCTCCTGGGATTTGGCCAGCTTGGCATAACCCACCACACAGGAAAAGTTGCACTTCAGACCGCGGACCTGGCTTGCCAACCCTCCTGATGCAGCAGGAAGGAATAATTCACCTCTTCAATCAATGAGGATTAACAGGTACGTTTTTAAACATACTGTACATATTACTAAAAACTGTACAACCAGTGACCGCTAAACAAATATTCTATATTAAAACACAGAATTGGACATTGATATACTACAAAACAGCAACTACATTACACAGCACTTTATAGTAATCAAATAATTCTAAAGAAGCCTTCAAAACCGTACTAATACGTAATAGCCATGTAATATACATGTATTAATCCACGTAGGCAGAAAAAAATATTTACTACAACACATCCAAGGAGAATGGCACTAAAACTGTAACTAAAATTGAGACAGTAATTGTATATTCTGAAAAATACTTGAACAAAACAAAGCTTTCAGTGACACCTCGCTTAAATGCCCCCAAGCGTCATCCTGTGTAACAACATTATTCACATACTGTGTAAAGACCACATACAAATGACAAATTAACAAAAATAGAGTATCTCACCTCCATGTGTCCTTCAAGTACAAGCCAGAGGCCAATAATGTTAGTTCCACAGTCAAGAGAGAGAGAAAGAAAGAGAGAGAAAGAAAGAGAGCTATGAGAGGAGAGAAACAGTAGAGGGGGATGAGAGAGTATCACCTTTATGGCATCAGCAGTCCAGAGAATAGGTTATTTTGTAAACAGACACCCTGACAGTCACACACACCCGCGTCCGCCCCCTCTCTCCCCTGCCGTCACTCCTCTGGTTTAACCAATAGAAAGAGGAGAACCCCAGTACAGGAGACTGTTACCTCAGCCATAGTGAGGAGCAGCTGTCTCTGTTCCCTCACAACCCAGCAATGTGTGTGTGTGTGTGTGTGTGTGTGTGTGTGGAGGATGACTGTTATTGGAGGGAAAGTGTGTGAGGGGGGTCTCACACATACACACACATAGCCCTAGTTGGAGGCCCCCAGCTGGCAGCAGCGTGTTGCCAGGAGTGATTAACGGCTGAAATCGACAGCACAGTTAGGGGTTTATTGGAGGGAAGAGGGAGAGAGAGAGAAAGAGAGGGAGAGACATGGTTTGTGATCGAATGAGTAGAGAGAAACAGAGACTGCAACAGAGGTAGAGGATGAGGTAGTAAACGCCAAATATACACTCTCAGAAAAAAGGGTTTACCTGGAACCAAAAGGGGTTATTCAAAGGGTTATCCTATGGGGACAGCCGAATAACTATTTTGGTTCTAGAGAGCACATTTTTCTCTAAGAGTGTAGAATCTCATTATGGGTTGTTGACAGTCTGACTAAGGTGTTGAATCTTCTGTGAGACAGGCATAGTGGAGACAGATACCCCTCACTCTTCAAGCAGTAAATGACACGTTCTCTCAGCACCAGTACTCTGCATTCATCCCCTTAACATTTCTCATCAGACCTAACTGACTCAAGGATGAACAAATCTAAAAGAGGAGATAAGAAATACACATAGGGAGATGCCTTTGCTTTGCACCCCCCCTTCCGCACTCTCTCTCTCTTTTTTACATGGCTGACCACTGTCCATCTCTCCATTGTCAGCGTCCAGAGGTTTTTATCTTGTGTAATTACTGCTGATGGAACCAATTGATTGTGAAGGGCCTTTCTCCCTCGCTCTGATTCTGCTATGGAGTGGGATTCTCTTTGTGCTTCTAATGCCCCATTGTCCCTGCTCCACGGGATTGTGGGAGGCAGCAGAGGGCGCAACACAATGAAGGGGCCTGCTGGCTGGACACTTGCTCCAACCCAAAAGGTCAAAAGGTTAAGGGTTTATGACTAGAGAGCACTTTGTAAAACATGGGCCTGTTGTGTGGTTTTGGTGTTGTTGTTGGGTATTCATAAATAGTTCTGTCTGAGGGAGTCCAGTGTAGTTAACATTAGAAAGGAGATAGCCTGGATTGGGTCCATCCAGCAGTCTTGCCTACATTTCCCTAGCACGGTATCTATACATTTAGCAGCCAGTCGATATTCCATTGTGGTGGCCATTCTGGATGACTAATCAATGTCCTGTTCTAACGATTACAACTGATTAATTATACCCCAGCTGGTTATCTCCCACAGCCCTCTATAGATTAAACTCTGTGTTTCATCCTCTGTGTGGCTGTGGCAGATGCAGCTGGATGGTATTATCCTGCATACTGTGCTTGGATACTATGCTTCCATGGTGGCTCACAGGACACAGAGCGCTTGTTACTGTTTTCAGTGTAGTGCAAGCAGGTAAATGCCATTCCACTCTGGATGCCATGCAGTGCTTTGATGTCAGATTTTCTAAATTAGATTACCACTTTGCCGCTCCATGGTTGGCAATGTAAACAAATAGACCATCTATCAGACGATACACTGCAACACGCTTGGACATGATATACAACATACACTATATATACACACAAAATTAAGTGGACACCCCTTCAAATTAGTGGATTCGGCTTTTCAGCCACACCCGTTGCTGAAAGGTGTATAAAATTGAGCACACAGCCTTGCAATCTCCATAGACAAACATTGGCAGTATAATGGCCTTACTGAAGAGCTCAGTGACTTTCAACGTGGCACCGTCATAGGATGCCACCTTTCCAACAAGTCAGTTCGTCAAATGTGTGCCCTGCTAAAGCTGTCCCGGTCAACTGTAGGTGCTGTTATTGTGACGTGGAAACGCCTAGGAGCAACAACGGCTCAGCCGCGAAGTGGTAGGCCACACAAGCTTACAGAAAGGGACTGCTGAGTGCTGAAGCGCATAGCTAGTAAAAATCGTCTGTCCTCGGTTGCAACACTCACTAGCGAGTTCCAAACTGCCTCTAGAAACAACATTAGCACAAGAACTGTTCATTGGGAGCTTCATGAAATGGGTTTCCATGGCTGAGCAGCCAAACACAAGCCTAAGATCACCAATGCGTAATGCCAAGTGTCGGCTGGAGTGGTGTAAAGCTCACCACCATTGGACTCTGGAGCAGTGGAAATGCGTTCTCAGGAATGAAGAATCACGTTTCACCATCTGGCAGTCCAACGAACAAATCTGGGTTTGGCGGACGCCAGGAGAACGCTACGTGCACAAATGCATAGTGCCAACTGTAAAGTTTGGTGGAGGAGTAATAATGGTCTGGGGCTGCTTTTCATGGTTCAGGCTAGGCCCCTTAGTTCCAGTGAAGGGAAATCTTAACGCTACAGCATACAATGACATTCTAGACGATTCTGTGCTTCCAACTTTGTGGAAACAGTTTGGGGAAGGCCCTTTCCTGTTTCAGCATGACAATGCATGACTGTGCACAAAGCGAAGTCCATACAGAAATGGTCTGTCGAGATCGGTGTGTAAGAACTTGACTGGTCTGCACAGAGCCCTGACCTCAACCCAATCGAACACCTTTGGGATGAATTGGAACGCCGATTACGAGCCAGGCCTAATTGCCCAACATCAGTGCCCGACCTCACTAATGCTCTTGTGGCTGAATGGAAGCAAGTCCCTGCAGCAATGTTCCAATATCTAGTGGAAAGCCTTCCCAGAAGAGTGGAGGCTGTTATAGCAGCAAAGGGGGACCAACTCCATATTAATGCCCACGATTTTGGAATGAGATGTCCGACGAGCAGGTGTCCACATACTTTTAGTCAGGTAGTCTACCTGCTAGCTACCTGTAGATATGCTCCCTGTACCCTTCAACTACTTTGTTTCAAATAGTAAGAGACTGTTTCTTGTACTCATACATTAGAGTTCAGTATGGGAAAAGGGTGAGTTAGAGTGAGATAGACGTGATGCTGAGACATGGGGTGGGATTTAGACATGGAGAAAGAGTGAGATATAGAGTGACATTGAGGTGTGGGTTGTGTTACCTTGTGAAAGTCCTCCTGCGTGGCTCTCATCTCCTTCCAGGTCTTATTGAGCAGCTGGATGCAGATGCAGAAGAGCTCGTCCAGCAGCTGGTCCTGAGAGAAGAAGATGGGGTGGTAGTCTGAACCTGTCTCTGAGGCTGGTGAGTGAGAGAGAGAGAGAGAGAGAGAGAGAGAGAAGCACTATGAGACCTGAGCCTGTCTCTAGGGGGGAGAGAGAGACAGGAGCACTATGAGACCTGTGATAGTCTGAACCTGTCTCTGAGGCTAGGGCAGAGAGAGAGGAACACAATGACCCAAATATGCCTACATACCAATAGTATACTTTTCTACAGTAGTATGCACACACACTGTACACATACACAGTACATACAAACAGATGTATTATCTTAATTTGATCACCCTGTTGCAGGAGAACTTTCCTGCAATGCAGGACATTTGAAACTTGTAGTGTATTGGAGGTTTAAAAAGGCTTCTGAAGTTTGTAATTTCCACTGTGAAATTTCAGACTTGATTTTCCCTTGTGAAAAATGTATCAACACCTACAAAATGTCCATGAATTATAATCCACATAATAATTCACATTTCCTGTTGCTGTAGGATTATTTTCTTGCTGTAGCAAACTGGCTCAAATTAACATAGATCCTACATCTGTATGTATCCAGTACAGACACAAAGCACACATGTACAGCTGTATCCATACTGTGTGAACTCACACCAGCATATAGACACAAACAGCTGAAAGTCATTAGAAAAACGTGCATGACATCAGTGGACAAAAAAAGCATGACCTGGCTTATATACAGCGCATTCGGAAGTATTCAGACCCCTTGTCTTTTTCCACATTTTGTTACGTTACAGCCTTATTCTAAAATGGATTAAGTTGTTTTTTATTTAATCAATCTACACACAATACCCCATAATGACTAAGCAAAAACAGGTTTTTAGAGATTTTTGCAAATTTATGAAAAATTTAAAACTGAAATATCACATTTACATAAGTATTCAGACCCTTTCCTCAGTACTTTGTTGAAGCACCTTTGGCAGTGATTACAGCCTTGAGTCTTCTTGGGTATGACGCTACAAGCATGGCACACCTGTATTTGGGGAGTTTCTCCCATTCTTCTCTGCAGATCCTCTCAAGCTCTGTCAGGTTGGATGGGGAGCGTCGCTGCACAGCTATTTTCAGGTCTCTCCAGAGATGTTCGATCGGATTCAAGTCCAGGCTCTGGCTGGGCCACTCAAGGACATTCAGAGACTTGTCCTGAAGCCACTCCTGCGTTGTCTTGGCTGTGTGCTTAGGGTTGTTGTCCTGTTGGAAGGTGAACCTGAGCGCTCTGGAGCAAGTTTTCATCAAGGAACTCTCTATACTTTGCTCTGTTCATCTTTCCCTCAATCCTGGCTAGCCTCCCAGTCCCTGCTGCTGAAAAACATCCCCACAGCATGATGCTACAACCACCATGCTTCACCGTAGGGATGGTGCCAGGTTTCTTCCAGACGTGACGGTTGGCATTCAGGCCAAAGAGTTCAATCTTGGTTTCATGGTCTGAGAGTCCTTTAGGTGCCTTTTGGAAAACTCCAAGCAGGCTGTCATGTGCCTTTTACTGAGGAGTGGCTTCCGTCTGGCCACTCTACCATAAAGGCCTGATTGGTGGTACTGTGCTGCAGAGATGGTTGTCCTTCTGGAAGGTTCTCTCATCTCCACAGAGGAACTCTGGAGCCCTGACCAAGGCCCTTCTCCCCCGATTGCTCAGTTTGGCCGGGCGGCCAGCTCTAGAAAGAGTCTTGGTGGTTCCAAACTTCTTCCATTTAAGAATGATGGAGGCCACTGCATTCTTGGGGACCTTCAATGCTGCAGACATTTTTTGGTACCCTTCCCCAGATCTGTGCCGACACAATCTTGTCTCAGAGCTCTACGGACAATTCCTTCGACCCCATGGCTTGGTTTTTGGTTCTGCAGAGAAGAATGGGAGAAACTCCCCAAATACAGGTGTGCCAAGCTTGTAGCGTCATACCCAAGAAGACGAGGCTGTAGTCGCTGCCAAAGGTGCTTCAACAAAGTACTGAGTAAAAGGTCTGAATACTTATGTAAATGTGATATTTCAGTTGTTTATCTTTAATACATTTGCTAAAATTAAAATAAAAACTGTTTTTGCATTGTCATTATGGGGTATTGGGTGTAGATTGATGAGGGAAAAATGTTATTTAATCCATTTTAAAATAAGGCTGTAATGTAACAAAATGTGGAAAAAGGGAAGGGGTCTGAATACTTTCTGAATGCACTGTACATGTAGGACCACATGAACTAGCTCAGGCTGACTTACGGGGCTCTCCGATGCGTAGGATCTCACACAGGATGAGAGTCAGCTGGATGCTGCTGCGGGCGAATGGACATTCGTGCTTATCCTCCCTACTGCTGTTCTCCAGAACAAACTAAGAGACACACACACACAGAGAGAGAGAGAGAGAGAGAGAGAGAGAGAGAGAGAGAGAGAGAGAGAGAGAGAGAGAGAGAGAGAGAGAGAGAGAGAGAGAGAGAGAGAGAAATTGTCTGAGGATGACACACATACTTAACCTGCACCCTAACAAAGACCCATGTTTGTCCCTTTAACTCCCTCCCACCCTCCGTTCCCATCCTTTCTCTTCCTTTTCTCTCCCTCTTTTCACCCTGCTGTAGGCATCGGGGTAGCGGGAGGCGAAGTGGGCCATGGTGTCCAGGGCCAGCAGGCCAGGAGGTGCCCGGAGCAGGTCCTGACCTGGGTTACTGTTGTTCTGGAGAGAGAGAGGACAGAACAGTGATAAAACACACTCTGTGTATGGTGGGAGACAATGAAGAATGGTATAGATAAGAATAAGTCTCAGACAAGTTTAGTAACTGTAAGTAAGTGATAAGAGTGGAATCACAACATCTGATAGAGGGACCATTATATCAACCAGCAATGGTTGGTATAGATGAGAATAGGACTCTGTTGAAAGTAACAGCTGATTGTTGACAGTAAGTGAGAGACGAGGTGAGTGAAGAGACACAGAGGCCCAGTGAGGGGGACTGAATGAGGTGGTGGTAAGTAGAATCTCATGGAGTAGACTCACAGAGAAGCCCAGCTTCTGGAACTCCTTGGCGCAGAGAGAGCGTCGTCGCTCATGACTCAAGCTGTTCTCACTCTCCATCTCAAAGGCAGCCTGCCGCAGGCCGTGTAGAATCTCCCTCTGGTCCTGGAGGAGGAAGGGGGAGGAAGGAGAGGAGGAGAGGGATGGACCGATAACAGTAGATGGAGACAAAGAGGTAATGAGAAAGAGTATATACTCTAAGTGGATTTCAAGGATACTTATTCAGCACTTCTCACAAAGCTCCTCTCTCCTGGAGTGGGAAGAGACAGTGGTTTGCTGTGGTTAGGGGGATCATCTAACTCACCTGGTTGTAGGAGTCCAGGGGCATTCTCATGCGAGGCTCCAGGTGGTTCAGAGTGACAGACTGGAGGACGTACAGGTAGTGGGCCATCTCATCCCCCACGGAGGCAGAACTATGGATGATGTTCTGTGGGTCACAACAAACCACGAGCCACAGGTTCAAGACAGAGCAGTATTTACTATGGATAAAATGACTGAAAGAAGACTAAAAAACAAAAACAATTTCTGCTACAACAACAATTGCATTTTCCCTATTTTGATATTCTACTGGGAGCAGTGACAGTCAGGTATCATTGTACCTCAATCTTGGAACATTCAAGATGGTACCTTATAGATGTACTGTCGAAGATTCTTCTTCCCTAGGAAGACAAACAACTCCTGAAAAGCAATAGTGTGTGTTATTACCTGATAATTACCACTAGTACCATCAGTTATTAATAATGAAATGCAGTGACACTACTTCCCCACAAGGAGGCAGTAAAAGCTATGCGGTCACAAATCAGGTCAGGGGGAGGGACACATCAGGACTTTGCCCCCAGTGGCAGTGACATAATGGTCACATAAATCAGTCCAAAACCTTTTTGTTTTGAACAGACTCACTCAGGCCAGTTAAACTGATTAAAGTGACTTGCACCTCCCTCTGGAAACCAGGGCAGGCGAGGGAAAGAAGAAAGAGAGAGAGAGAAAGAAAGAAAGAGATCCCATTGGTACCTGTCTGTCTGCATCTCCAGCTGTCTGTAGCAGAGCCATGAGGAGGGCCATGGCTTTGGTTTGAATCTGCTGGTTTGTCCTGGAATAAAGAGAGTATGGGTGGGCGTATGAGTGATGGGAGAGAGTAGTATGTGTATGTGTTTTTTAGATGAACAGTAGACGTCAGACACTGGGCAAGCTTAACATTGCATTTTTCAGAGCTACATTCAACTGTAAAAGTATTTCGAGATGGGGTCTCTATGTTTTTAAGCATGTACAGTATAAGCGCGCTCATTCATTGGAGGTATTGCGGGTTGTTTGTTCCCACCTGCTACCCACTTACACCTGTAGATGTGAGAGCAGTCTCTCTAAAGTGACTTCCTGCTTGACCTGCTGGAAGAGGCTGCTGCTGCTCAGCACCATGCTCTCCAGGATGGCCAGGGACACCTGCTGGATAGACACATCCAGCACCATGGCATTGACGAAGCTGGCAATCTGACAGGTACAAGGAGTCAGACACAGGATACAGGGTGAGATACAGTTGAAGTCTGAAGTTTACATACACTTAGGTTGGAGTCATTAAAACTCGTTTTTCAACCACTCCACAAATTTCTTGTTAACAAACTGAAGTTTTGGCAAGTCGGTTAGGACATCTACTTTGTGCATGTCACAAGTAATTTTTCCAACAATTGTTTACAGACAGATTATTTCACTTATAATTCACTGTATCACAATTCCAGTGGGTCAGAAGTTTACATACACTAAGTTGACTGTGCCTTTAAACAGCTTGGAAAATTCCAGAAAATGATGTCATGGCTTTAGAAGCTTCTGATAGGCTAATTGACATCATTTGAGTCAATTGGAGGTGTACCTGTGGATGTATTTCAAGGCCTACCTTCAAACTCAGTGCCTCTTTGCTTGACATCATGGGAAAATCAAAAGAAATCAGCCAAGACCTCAGAAAAGAAATTGTAGACCTCTACAAGTCTGGTTCATCCTTGGGAGCAATTTCCAAACGCCTGAATGTACCACGTTCATCTGTACAAACAATAGTACGCAAGTATAAACACCATGGGACCACGCAGCCGTCATACCGCTCAGGAAGGAGACGCATTCTGTCTCCTAGAGATGAACGTACTTTCGTGTGAAAAGTGCAAATCAATCCCAGAACAACAGCAAATGACCTTGTGAAGATGCTGGAGGAAACAGGTACAACATTATCTATATCCACAGTAAAACGAGTCCTATATCGACATAACCTGAAAGGCCACTCAGCAATGAAGAAGCCACTACTCCAAAACCGCCATAAAAAAGCCAGACTACAGTTTGCAACTGCACATGGGGACAAAGATCGTACTTTGGAGAAATGTCCTCTGGTCTGATGAAACAGAAATGGAACTGTTTGGTTGCTTCCTTGCTTGCAAGCCGAAGAACACCATCCCAACCGTGAAGCACGGGGGTGGCAGCATCATGATGTGGGGGTGCTTTGCTGAAGGAGGGACTGGTGCACTTCACAAAATAGATGGCATCATGAGGAAGGAAAATTATGTGGATATATTGAAGCAACATCTCAAGACATCACTCAGGAAGTTAAAGCTTGGTCGCAAATGGGTCTTCCAAATGGACAATGACCCCAAGCATACTTCCAAAGTTGTGGCAAAATGGCATAAGGACAACAAAGTCAAGGTATTGGAGTGGCCATCACAAAGCCCTGACCTCAATCCTATAGAAAATGTGTGGGCAGAACTGAAAAAGCATGTGCGAGCAAGGAGGCCTACAAACCTGACTCAGTTACACCAGCTCTGTCAGGAGGAATGGGCCAAAATTCACCCAACTTATTGTGGGAAGCTTGTGGAAGGCTACCCGAAACAATTTAAAGGCATTGCTAACAAATACTAATTGAGTGTATGTAAACTTCTGACACACTGGGAATGTGATGAAAGAAATAAAAGCTGAAATAAATCACTCTCTACTATTATTCTGACATTTCACATTCTTAAAATAAAGTGGTGATCCTAACTGACCTAAGAAAGGGCATTTTTACTAGGATTAAATGTCAGGAATTGTGAAAAACTGAGTTTAAATGTATTTGGCTAAGGTGTATGTAAACTTCCGACTTCAACTGTAGATACAGGGAGGAGTAGCGCGGGAATGAAGTGGGATAAAATGGGAATATAATAGGTTGAAACTATGCATGACTAGTGGTCACCAGAGCTCCTACAGACATTTCTTCAAGGTCGAAGATTACACCCATGAACATTATGGGTCCGGTTTCCAGACACAAATTAAGCCTAGTCCTGGCTTTAAAATCACTCTCAGAAGATTATCTTAATTGAAAGCCCCTTTTAGTCCAGGACTAGGCTTAATCTATGTCCTGGAAACCGACCCTAAATGTATTGTTTAATTCCTTACTCCTGACATTTCTTTATATATCGTCCTCCACTTAGTCTATAGGAGCCAATAGTTGAGGAACCTACCTTCTTGATGAAGACAGCAGAGAGGTTCTCCCATGATACAATCCCATGATCCATCAGCTCCATGAAGCCTGTCAGTGTGTAGGTCATGATCAGAGGGGCCCTTATAAACAAACACAGAACACACACAACTCTGATATCAGAACAGAATATTATAACATCAGCGAATACAATCTTGACATAGAAAACCAGACACCACTGAGCATTTACGCTGATTGGGTTCTAGGTGCCAAGTAGAAGACTAAACCAGACTAAAGCATCCCAGGCTGAAACCTTTTCCCATGTTTGGTATGAATGTGTTTCATGCCTCCACTGGGATTCAAGTGGTATAATTGATTCATGGAAATATGTGTTTTCTAAACAAGGCATGACAGTACATCTTCAAAAGCATGACATCAGGCTCATATACTTGGATCACCCCATCCCATGAGGACTTTGATAAAAATCTTAACCCCATCACTAGCTATGCAACACAAAGCTGCAAATTCTTCACAGCCAATTCTCCATACCAACTCGATGTCCTTTTATGACTCATATAATGCAACTAAAGAACCCAACTACAGCTTCCTTGAATTCCTCCATAGTAACTATGCTAACAGTGTGAGGAAAAGGCCAGACTCAGCCCATACTTCACCTAGGAATGTGTTCCCACATGTGATGTAATCACCTCATCTCTGTACCAGCATCTATCAAAGCACAGCATTCCACTGCAGCCAGTGCAAATATATGCACTGCACTTCCCACACCCCCCCACTACTATATAAGGTTAGTTGTTGAGAGAGTGAAGGAAAAATATGCACGAAAATATGTTATTGGGAAAATAAGACAAACTGAGACAAAGACTCATTGACATATAGGAGAGAGACAGACAGACACACAGAGAAGGGAACTGACTCTTGAGCCTCCTCTACGATCTTCACCAGCAGAGAGTGGCCATCACGGCTGATAAACTCCTGAGCAAACGTTACATCAGTAGACACGCAGGCCAGCTGTTTCAGCGAATCACAGCGCATGTCTGAGTCTGAGCTCTGGATGCCCTTGTAGAGGTCCTCGGCACAACAGCCCTACAACACACAAAACATAAAAACCCAGACAAAGGATAGATTAAGTAGATATACCAATAATGTAATACAATTGTAATAGGCCTACATAGCATGCAGACACACACACACACAGGGGATTATGTATGGAACAGAGCATGGTTGGTTTGTTAGGCTCTTGTTTGCAGACTCACCGGTGCCTTGGTCAGACGGAGAATGCAGCCATTCTTTATGTCCAGACGGTTCTAGAACACAAAGGCCACAGAGAAGACACAATGACAACAGTCATTCAGGCAATAAAGACCGACTTAGAAACGGCTTAGACTGATTACTGTTTTCAAACTGTACTAAGGGACATAATTATGAAGTGAGAGAGAATGTGAGAGAGAAAGAGAGAGAGCGAGAGAGAAAGAACGAGAGAGAGAGAGAGAGAAAGAGAGAGAAAGAAAGAGAGAGGAGTTGGTTTAGTTTCAAATGAGTAGCCCAGGAAATACACCCAAAAATAGACTTGCTTTCTAATTTGCTTGCTTTCTCGCAGCACATCAGTTTTCTCTCATTCACTCCTGTACGTTCTAATTCCAGCCTGTACATGCTCGTTCACGTGCGTAAAAAACGCTTTCCGTTTGAATTGGGCTTTGGTCTTCAGGCTAAACACACACACACACACAAACACACTCATACCCCTAATAGTGCCAACCAGCATCCAGCTCCTATTACCCATGCTTATCACACACCCAGTGAAATAACAATGAACACAGCCACAGCATGCCCCCTGGTCGAGGTGTGTGTTTGACCTCTCCAAAGGTCACCAGCTTAGTTTAGCTCCAACAGCTACCCCCACCCAGGGCACTGGCGTTGGTGACATTTCAGACATCACTGGCATGACAGTGACATCCTCTCCCATCAAGTTACAGTATAGAAGCTACACACTGGACAGCCAGAGAGCTGTTTGTTCACACACAGCTTCCATGCTCACAGAAAAGAAAGAGAATCAACTCACAGATTCAGTGATGTAGGTCTGAACACCGTCAGCATACTGGAGGGCGTAGTTATCAGGGCCTGGAAGATTCCACCTTAAACACAGTCATCATAGCCACTGTAACTACTGCAAGAGGACAAAGTAGTTGCTTAAACTCCACAAGGGCAGCTTGTGACCAAAAAGAAAGCGCTTTTTAAACATGAACATTCACATAACATGAACACACCCACACTTACCCATCACAAACCTCCTTTATTACGGCAGAAAGGGGCTTTTTCTGTCAGGAGATAAGCATAGATGTGGTCAATGAGCAGCAGAAGGTAGGAACTGATTTAGATATCATGCTTTCATTTTGTAAACCATGGTGGAACTATAGTACACCAGTCCCATGACCCAAGCCTGTTGATCCTATATAAACTCAAAGCTTTTACTTCCTCTATGCTGTTGACTAATGTATTTGAGGCAGTATGGAAATTCAGTGCATTGAATAAATAAGAGACAAACTACTCCAATGTCTACACTTCAATTGCCCTGTAATTTGTGGTATACATGGTGGTCAACCAATCAAACGTTTTGGTGTACTGTGGTAGACCTATCGCTGCCCTGTAATTTGTGATCTGTAAGGGGTAGTCCAATAGGATTTTGAGGGGCTTGCGGTAAGTGATTTTCTCCCATGAAATGTGTACAGAACCAGCCTGTTCACAAATCTCCTGGACATTACATCGTCTCTCAAAGTTTTAAGGATCACTCTAACTCCAAGAACATTCTGTGGTACTATTGAAGTACTAAACATCTTAATATCAAGTGTTAAGTATATATTTGAATGGATAAAACATACTGTAAGTGATCGCATAAACAACTCAATGTTTGAACGCTAAATGGAGGTTTTGAATGGATACGATAAATGGATACGTTTTTAACATCAATGAGGCAGTAGAGGGACACTTACAGATCCACTCGACGAGAAGCATCCTGGATATGTTCCTGGTCTGCATCGCCAAGGTGCTCACCGTGCAACTAAAGGCCGATCTTAATTTGATAAATATTTTATTGCTAGTGCTGATTAACTGAAATTTCGGTTATTTTTCTGTTTTAAAACATCTAATTGACCGACGTTGGTTCAATTAGTTGAATTCCATAAAGAAAAAAATATATATATTCTGTGAACTCGATGTGCAGTTTCTGTAGAGATAAATCAGATCAACCCTGAAATGTGAGATGTAGTAGGGAGTTGTAATTTCCAACAGGCCAATATTTTACATAGTTTAGCGCAGACGTGGTAATTAACTACAATGACCATAATCCATTGTGTGCCCGCTTAAACTTGTCCTGTCTGTGCGGAACAAGACACGGAGACAGAGGGATAGAAAGCAGTTGCTTCATGAGCCTGAAAATACACGCTCTAAGCAGTCATAAAAGTATGCCTTATTTAATTTGAAGAACTAATAAAATAGTGATTTTGTCAGACAGCATAGGCAGAAGCTCTATAGAGATAAGATGATGACTTGGAATTAAATAAAGTCATCAAATAAAACAAATATTTATTAAAGTAAAGCAATGTGAATTGTAAATAAATTATGGTTAATAAGTGATAAGCAGTAATGGGCAGTCACTACCATCATGGGACTTTTATTAATTGTTTTATTCAGTGTTGTTACACCATTCAATCCATGATAACAATGACGGAGAAATCTGATTATCTCGAGGGAAAATCAAGGCGGAACTACATTATTGTGGACAGAATTGTAAAATCTCCACATGAGACCTGGACGGAGTCTGAGGATAAAGTGAAGGAAATGATCTCTAAGAAATTTAAGATGGACCACAGGAAGATTGAGGTGGCGTGCGCCCACAGGATTGGAAAATCCTCCACCGGCCCAGGTGACAGGCCCAAGCCGATAGTGGTCAAGTTCCTGAGGTTCAAGGACAAGGTAGCTGTTCTGGAAAAAGCCAAGAACTTGAGAGGAATGTACATCTTCCTCAACGAGGACTATCCTGAAGCTGTGCGCCAGAAGAGAAAATAACTTTTCCCGGCCATGAAAGCTACCAGAGCGCGTGGGGACATTGCTTACATCCGCTATGACAGGCACATTGTCCACAATCCCTACCAAAAGCCTGGAAGGGATGAGAGACCCAAACCTATGGGTTCATAGTTTCAACCCAACAGCAAACACACACACTTACACACATCAACTGATTAATGGACTGCTGAATGTTTTAGTTTTTTTTCTCTTCCTTTCTTTGTTCTTTTACATATTATGTCTATCTCTGAGAAGCTACCCAGGAAAGGACTGAAAATAGCCAATATTAATATATGTAGCCTTATAAATAAGGTTAATGAAATCAATAACTTGCTAACATCAGATAACATTAATATATTAGCCATTTCTGAGACTCACTTAGATCATTCCTTTGATGATACAGCAGTAGCAATACAAGGGTTAACATCGATAGAAGACACAGCAATGCATATGGGGTAGGTGTTTATATACAGTGGGGAGAACAAGTATTTGATACACTGCCGATTTTGCAGGTTTTCCTACTTACAAAGCATGTAGAGGTCTGTAATTTGTATCATAGGTACACTTCAACCGTGAGAGACGGAATCTTAAATAAAAATCCAGAAAATCACATTGTATGATTTTTAAGTAATTAATTTGCATTTTATTGCATGACATAAATATTTGATCACCTACCAACCAGTAAGAATTCCGGCTCTCACAGACCTGTTCGTTTTTCTTTAAGAAGCCCTCCTGTTCTCCACTCATTACCTGTATTAACTGCACCTGTTTGAACTTGTTACCTGTATAAAAAGACACCTGTCCACACACTCAATCAAACAGACTCCAACCTCTCCACAATGACCAAGACCAGAGAGCTGTGTAAGGACATCAGGGATACAATTGTAGACCTGCACAAGGCTGGGATGGGCTACAGGACAATAGGCAAGCAGCTTGGTGAGAAGGTAACAACTGTTGGCGCAATTATTAGAAAATGGAAGAAGGTCAAGATGACGGTCAATCACCCTCGGTCTGGGGCTCCATGCAAGATCTCACCTGGTGGGGCATCAATGATCATGAGGAAGGTGAGGGATCAGCCCAGAACTACATGGCAGGACCTGGTCAATCACCTGAAAAGAGCTGGGACCACAGTCTCAAAGAAAACCATTAGTAACACACTATGCCGTCATGGATTAAAATCCTGCAGCACACGCAAGGTCCCCCTGCTCAAGCCAGCACATGTCCAGGCCCGTCTGAAGTTTGCCAATGATCATCTGAATGATCCAGAGGAGGAATGGGAGAAGGTAATGTGGTCTGATGAGACAAAAATAGAGCTTTTTGGTCTAAACTCCACTCGCCATGTTTGGAGGAAGAAGAAGGATGAGTACAACCCCAAGAACACCATCTCAACTGTGAAGCATGGAGGTGGAAACATCATTCTTTGGGGATGCTTTTCTGCAAAGGGGACAGGACGACTGCACCGTATTGAGGGGAGGATGGATGGGGCCATGTATCGCGAGATCTTGGCCAAGAACCTCCTTCCCTCAGTAAGAGCATTGAAGATGGGTCGTGGCTGGGTCTTCCAGCATGACAATGACCCGAAACACACAGCCAGGGCAACTAAGGAGTGGCTCCGTAAGAAGCATCTCAAGGTCCTGGAGTGGCCTAGCTAGTCTCCAGACCTGAACCCAATAGAAAATCTTTGGAGGGAGCTGAAAGTCCGTATTGCCCAGCGACAGCCCCGAAACCTGAAGGATCTGGAGAAGGTCTGTATGGAGGAGTGGGCCAAAATCCCTGCTACAGTGTGTGCAAACCTGGTCAAGACCTACAGGAAACGTATGATCTCTGTAATTGCAAACAAAGGTTTCTGTACCAAATATTAAGTTCTGCTTTTCTGATGTATCAAATACTTATGTCATGCAATAAAATGCAAATTCATTACTTAAAAATCATACAATGTGATTTTCTGGATTTTTGTTTTAGATTCCATCTCTCACAGTTGAAGTGTACCTATGATAAAAATTCTACATGCTTTGTAAGTAGGAAAACCTGCAAAATCGGCAGTGTATCAAATACTTGTTCTCCCCACTGTATATACAGTGCATTCGGAAAGTATTCAGAACCCTTGACTTTTCCTACAAATTGTTACGTTACAGCCTTATTTTAAATTGATTAAATTGTTTTTTTCCCCTCATCAATGCCCATAATGACTAAGCAAAAACAGTTTTTTTTGCAAATGTATTAAATATAAACAACTGGAATATCATATCTATACAAGTATTCAGACCCTTTACTCAGTACTTTGTTGAAGCACCTTTGGCAACGATTACAGCCTCGAGTCCTCTTGGGTATGACGCTACAAGCTTGGCACACTTGTATTTGGGGAGTTTCTCCCATTCTTCTCTGCAGATCCTCTCAAGCTCGGTCAGGTTGGAGGGGAGTGTCACTGCACAGCTATTTTCAGGTCTCTCCAGAGGTGTTCGAAAGGGTTCTAGTCCGGGCTCTGGCTGGGCCTCTCAAGGACATTCAGAGACTTGTCCCGAAGCCACTCCTGCGTTGTCTTGGCTGTGTGCTTAAGGTCGTTATCCTGTTGGAAGGTGAACCTTCGCCCCACTCTGACGTCCTGAGCCCTCTGGATCAAGGATCTCTCTGTACTTTGCTCCGTTTGTCTTTCCCTCGATCCTGACTAGTCTCCCAGTCACTGCAGCTGAAAAACCTCCCCACAGCATGATGCTGCCACCACCATGCTTCACCGTAGGGATGGTGCCAGGTTTTCTCCAGACGTGACGCTTGGCATTCAGGCCAAAGAGTTCCATCTTGGGTTCATCAGACCAGATAATCTTGTTTCTCATGGTCAGAGTCCTTTAAGTGCCTTTTGGCAAACTCCAAGTGGGCTGTCATGTGCCTTTTACTGAGGAGTGGCTTCTGTCCGGCCACTACCATAAAGGCCTGCAGACGGTTGTCCTTCTGGAAGGTTTTCCCATCTCCACAGAGGAACTCTGGAGCTCTGTCAGACTTACCATCGGGTTCTTGGTCACCTCCCTGACTAAGGCCCTTCTTCCCCGATTGCTCAGTTTGGCCGGGCGGCCAGATCTAGGAAGAGTCTTGGTGGTTCCAAACTTCTTCCATTTAAGAATGATGGAGGCCACTGTGTTCTTGGGAACCTTCAATGCTGCAGAAATTTTTTGGTACCATTTCCCAGATCTGTGCCTCAACACAATCCTGTCTCGGAGCTCTACGGACAATTCCTTCAACCCTTAATGGCTTGGTTTTTGCTCTGACATGCACTGTCAACTGTGGGACCTTATATAGACAGGTGTGTGCCTTTCCAAATCATGTCCAATCAATTTAATGTACCACAGGTGGACTCCAATCAAGTTGTAGAAATATCTCAAGGATGATCAAGTGGAAAAAGGATGCACCTGACCACAATTTCGAGTCTCATAACAACGCTAATTGGAGTAAACTAATAAACAACAACACTTAGGCTTCTACTTCTAGCTTATACATACTAAACTCAGCAAAAAAAGAAATGTCCCTTTTTTAGGACCCTGTCTTTCAAAGATAATTCGTAATAATCCAAATAACTTCACAGATCTTCATTGTAAAGGGTCTAAACACTGTTTCGCATGCTTGTTCAATGAACCATAATTAATGAACATGCACCTGTGGAACGGTTGTTAAGACACTAACAGCTTACAGACGGTAGGCAATTAAGGTCACAGTTATGAAAACTTAGGACAGTAAAGAGGCCTTTCTACTTACTCTGAAAAACACCAAAAGAAAGATGCCCAGGGTCCCTGCTCATCTGCATAAACATGCCTTAGGCATGCTGCAAGGAGGCATGAGGACTGCAGATGTGGCCAGGGCAATAAATTGCAATGTCCGTACTGTGAGATGCCTAAGACAGCGCTACAGGGAGACAGTACGGACAGCTGATCGTCCTCGCAGTGGCAGACCATGTGTAACAACACCTGCACTGGATCGGTATATCCGAACATCACACCTGCGGGACAGGTACAGGATGACAACAACAACTGCCCGAGTTACACCAGGAACGCACAATCCCTCCATCAGTGCTCTGACTGTCCACAATAGGCTGAGAGAGGCTGGACTGAGGGCTTGTAAGCCTGTTGTAAGGCAGGTCCTCACCAGACATCACCGGCAACAATGTCGCCTATGGGCACAAACCCACAGTCGCTGGACCAGACAGGACTGGCAAAAAGTGCTTTTCACTTACGAGTCGCGGTTTTGTCTCACCAGGGGTGATGGTCGGATTCGTGTTTATCGTCAAAGGAATGAGCGTTACATCGAGGCCTATACTCTGGAGCGGGATCGATTTGGAGGTGGAGGGTCCGTCATGGTCTGGGGCGGTGTGTCACAGCATCATTGGACTGAGCTTCTTGTCATTGCAGGCAATCTCAACGCTGTGCGTTACAGGGAAGACATCCTCCTCCCTCATGTGGTACTGATGATGATTTTTTAGATACTATTGGATAAACAAAGCTAAATCACAGACGTTACGAACATATAGTCAGGATTCTCTGTTGCTAGGCAAGAACTTGAATGGTTCCTTTCACTGGGCTTGGGCGTGTGTGTGAAGTGGGGATCTGACCTAGGGTCGAATTGCTCGCTCTTACCTAATCCATGGCTGTCCTACCTTGTCAGAGACTGAAACCAGACTGTTGCCTAATGCATCTCTCCTCAAACAAAGTAGAGAGAGAGCGGCGTCAGAATTGAACAGAGTCTAGATTAATCATGAGTAATTACAGCATGATGGGAGGGAAGAGAGGAGTGGGTTTGGGTATGTTTGAAAGATTAAGTGTGGACCTGTCATGTCCAACAATCAATCTTCAGGTCAAGCCAGGGAGAGCAGGTGTTGAACAGAGTTTAAACTGAACATGAGTGTTTTTGCATGATAAGGGCTGGATTGATTGTACTACTAAAAGTCCAATTTAGCAGCTATCATAGACTAAGGAAGTGGGAAGAGCGGTAGAGAGTGGGAAACTGAAGATAATGGTGGGGGAACCTAAGAGGGAGGTGCTTTAAGCTAAGATGTATGTGAATATGACTATATAAACGGAGAGCTGAGAGGTAGAGAGGAGGTGCTCTGCAGACCATCTCGGCTTCCGTTACTCTGTGTAATAAAGTCTATCTTGATTCTACAAAAACTCTGGAAGAACTTTGATTTTTAATAAGTATAGTGATAATTTTCCACATCAGCACCCTTCCTGCAGGCTCATCCTGACATGATCCTCCAGCATGCCAATGCCACCAGCCATACTGCTCGTTCTGTGCGTGATTTCCTGCAAGACAGGAATGTCAGTGTTCTGCCATGGCCAGCGAAGAGCCCGGATCTCAATCCCATTGAGCACGTCTGGGACCTGTTGGATCGGAGGGTGAGGGCTAGGGCATTCCCCCCAGAAATGTCCGGGAACTTGCAGGTGTCTTGGTGGAAGAGTGGGGTAACATCTCACAGCAAGAACTGGCAAATCTGGTGCAGTCCATGAGGAGGAGATGCGCTGCAGTACTTAATGCAGCTGGTGGCCACACCAGATACTGACTGTTACTTTTGATTTTGATCCCCCCTTTGTTCAGGGACACATTATTCAATTTACGTTAGTCACATGTCTGTGGAACTTGTTCAGTTTATGTCTCAGTTGTTGAGTCTTGTTATGTTCATACAAATATTTACACATTAAGTTTGCTGAAAATAAATGCAGTTGACAATGAGAGGACATTTCTTTTTTTGCTGAGTTTATATACATTTTACGGACACAATCTATTTTACAATAGTTATCTTTTGTTTCTTTTTACTCCTATCCTTCCGCTACCCTCAACCCCTCCCATATACAGTGGGGAAAAAAAGTATTTAGTCAGCCACCAATTGTGCAAGTTCTCCCACTTAAAAAGTTGAGAGAGGCCTGTAATTTTCATCATAGGTACACGTCAACTATGACAGACAAAATAAGAAACGTAATCCAGAAAATCACATTGTAGGATTTTTAATGAATTTATTTGCAAATTATGGTGGAAAATAAGTATTTGGTCAATAACAAAAGTTTCTCAATACTTTGTTATATACCCTTTGTTGGCAATGACACAGGTCAAACGTTTTCTGTAAGTCTTCACAAGGTTTTCACACACTGTTGCTGGTATTTTGGCCCATTCCTCCATGCAGATCTCCTCTAGAGCAGTGATGTTTTGGGGCTGTCGCTGGGCAACACGGACTTTCAACTCCCTCCAAAGATTTTCTATGGGGTTGAGATCTGGAGACTGGCTAGGCCACTCCAGGACCTTGAAATGCTTCTTACGAAGCCACTCCTTCGTTGCCCGGGCGGTGTGTTTGGGATCATTGTCATGCTGAAAGACCCAGCCACGTTTCATCTTCAATGCCCTTGCTGATGGAAGGAGGTTTTCACTCAAAATCTCACGATACATGGCCCCATTCATTCTTTCCTTTACACGGATCAGTCGTCCTGGTCCCTTTGCAGAAAAACAGCCCCAAAGCATGATGTTTCCACCCCCATGCTTCACAGTAGGTATGGTGTTCTTTGGATGCAACTCAGCATTCTTTGTCCTCCAAACATGACGAGTTGAGTTTTTATCAAAACGTTCTATTTTAGTTTCATCTGACCAGATGACATTCTCCCAATCCTCTTCTGGATCATCCAAATGCACTCTAGCAAACTTCAGACGGGCCTGGACATGTACTGGCTTAAGCAGGGGGACACGTCTGGCACTGCAGGATTTGAGTCCCTGGCAGCGTAGTGTGTTACTGATGGTAGGCTTTGTTAGTTTGGTCCCAGCTCTCTGCAGGTCATTCACTAGGTCCCCCCGTGTGGTTCTGGGATTTTTGCTCACCGTTCTTGTGATCATTTTGACCCCACGGGGTGAGATCTTGCGTGGAGCCCCAGATCGAGGGAGATTATCAGTGGTCTTGTATGTCTTCCATTTCCTAATAATTGCTCCCACAGTTGATTTCTTCAAACCAAGCTGCTTACCTATTGCAGATTCAGTCTTCCCAGCCTGGTGCAGGTCTACAATTTTGTTTCTGGTGTCCTTTGACAGCTCTTTGGTCTTGGCCATAGTGGAGTTTGGAGTGTGACTGTTTGAGGTTGTGGACAGGTGTCTTTTATACTGATAACAAGTTCAAACAGGTGCCATTAATACAGGTAACGAGTGGAGGACAGAGGAGCCTCTTAAAGAAGAAGTTACAGGTCTGTGAGAGCCAGAAATCTTGCTTGTTTGTAGGTGACCAAATACTTATTTTCCACCATAATTTGCAAATAAATTCATTAAAAATCCTACAATGTGATTTTCTGGATTTTTTTTCCTCAATTTGTCTGTCATAGTTGACGTGTATCTATGATGAAAATTACAGGCCTCTCTCATCTTTTTAAGTGGGAGAACTTGCACAATTGGTGGCTGACTAAATACTTTTTTCCCCACTGTATTTCTGAAGACCATCTAGTTAGATTTTTATTTGCCATATATTTTTAACTGTGCTGTTTCACAAAAGTTCTGAACCTATATACATTTTACAGACACAGCATATTTTACATTAGTTATCATGTTGTTATTAGTCCCACCCTTCAGGTCCACTCAACCCTCCCATCCATATTGGATTTCTGTGCTGTGATGTTTCACAAATGTTTGGAACCTTTCTATTCTCATAGTTTCTATGGTTTGTAAATTAAAGATAAATATTTGTACTAAAAGTATTATTATATTATTGATCGATTGACTATGACTTTTCAAATCACCCAGTAGTGCTATCTGCAAAATTAGCTCCAGGTAAATGTTGCAATTCCTGCGACCTGCAACCAAAAACAAGCTACATATGGACAGTACCAAAACAAATGATTCTGTCGCTTCGCAGCAACATCTGCAGAGCATGTGCCATGGAATCGGTACATCGAAAATCTCTTCCCAACTATTTTGCAATCTATATGGCACAGCTGTCCATTTTTCATTCCTTAAATGAAACTCGTATACTTTTTCATTTATCACAATTTTCTTTAACCAATTTTGGTCTTTAATGCAGGGCCGACAGACAAGTTCCTTACTTTTCCCCCCTTCCACTTGCCTCTTTCATTTTTGCAATTTGTTGTAATTTTGGGTAGAGCAGACATTTCCATATATTTTTGTTAGCTGCATGTGTGACATAACTCCACCAGTCCTATTTATGATATAATTTACAAAGATTATAATGTTTTTATATCAATTAGTATATTTGAGTTTAACCACAATATTTGTTGTATTATTTGTTCTGTCTTTTCTGGTGGATTAAACTGAAATTGCAACTAACTTTCTATGGCTTGTTTTAAAAAGCGATATTTGGGAGATGATTTCTTTTTCAAATCACCGAATGTGAGAGGTTGAAATCTGAATAAAGGGAAAAAGGCCATTCTTGAACATGGGGTGAGACATTCTTACTAATCTGCTAGAGAACCAGTTCGGATTTAAGTATAACTTTTGTATGACTGACGCCTTTAGTGAGCGGTCTAATGCTTTAATTATTTCTGCTCTCCGAATTCATATTCATTATATAAATAGGCCCGTTTAATTTTGTCTGGCTTGCCGTTCCAAATAAAATGGAATATTTTTTGCTCATATAATTTTAAAAACAGGTCGCTAGGTGTAGGCAGGGCCATAAGCAAATAAGGAAACTGGGATATGACTAAAGAGTTAATCAGGATGATTTTCCTTTCCATGGTAGCAAAATTTGATCTATTTTTGCTAACTTTCTATTAAAATGTATTGTAGTGAGATAATTTCTTTATTTCGGGATATGTATACCGAGTATGTCCACATCACCGTCAGACCATTTTATTGGTAAACTACACGGTAATGTAAAAGTTTTATTTTTTAGTGATCCAATACGTAATATAGTACACTTATCATAATTTGGTTGTAATCCAGAGAGGTTAGAAAACGTATCTAGATCCTCTATGAGGCTGTGGGGGGGATCCACATTGTGGATTTAAAAGAAAACATGAATCATCAGCGTACAATGATTTAGTGTTGTTTACACTGTTGCAAATTGTCAGAAAAATAATATTTATAATAATAACCATCCTTTGTTGATCTCCTTATCGTTATTATTATTATTATTATTATTATTATTATTATTATTATTATTATGATGATCATCATTATAATAATAAGTAATGTTATTATCATTAGTAGGCTTAGTATAGCAGTCTCGTATAACCACCATCGAGCTGTAGGCCTAAGAGCGCATCCTGTTTAGTCTTATTACCATAACTTACTTAGGCCTATTTCAATACTTATATAGGCTACTGTATCAATCAATCATTCATTCGTTCATGTCATCACACACCATACAGGGCATTCATGATTTGAAATGCAATCAAGCATTTTAGTTTTTAAATAAAAGAACAAAGCGAATCTTGAATAATTAGAGTAAACAATAAATAATGCGTTCGGAAATCACGAATTAATGTGACCGTTTTTAGTCTTTGCTGTAAAAAGGCTTTACAAAAAAACAAAAACTTTACAACAGACTCTCTGGTATGCCTATAATGTTTTTAGAGTTGTTTACATTGTTTAAATGGTCAGAAATGTTTTCTTGTAATCTAACAGCACTTGTTTTGCACACATAATATGCACACAGCATTTGATCTTTACCTTATTTTTCTTGATCTCCAGTATTTTCCACAACTAGTCAAATTTATTCCACACATCTGACTTCCCCTTTACCTCTTGAGCAACCAGTAAACGTTCCCCCGTTTCGAGTTGATTTGTCACGTCCTCTGCATCCATTTTGCTGTCACGTGTTATGGTGTTCGGAGTTTGTTATAACCAATTTATTGATGTGATTATGATATTCTATAAGTCAGGCCTGATTGGTCATGTGCATGCGATGCATACATGTGTCACGTAAAGAAGGCAAGGGTTGAGGGAATAGGGAATGTTTTTCCTAAACAAATTAGGGATTTCAGTAACAGAACTTTTCAGTCAGAAATGGCTGTAATTATGTTGCAACTTCAGCAACACAGACAGCACGATAAACACTGTTGATGCTCTGTGGTGGTCGCTGCAGCAGGGAGGAGCGAAAGACAATGGGTGCTATTTGTGTGTCTTAATTATTTCATTAAACAGTGCGCTTAAAGCACCAGACAAGCTCAGTGCATATAGTTGATTTTATTAAAATACAATAGGATGTGTCTATATATTGAGAAATACACGTTTTACCCCACCAGACATGCCACCAGGGGTCTTTTCATAGTCCCCAAATCCAGAACAAATTCTAGAAAGCATACAGTATTTATATAGAGCCATTATTGCATGGAACTCCCTTCCATCTCATATTGCTCAAATGAACAGCAAAGCTGGCTTAAAAAAATAGATAAAGCAACACCTCACGGCACTACGTCGCTCCCCTATTCTACCTAGATATTTTGTGTGTATGTATTTAGGCTATGTGTGCCGTTTTTAAATGCATGTAGTTCTGTCCTTGAGCTGTTCTTGTCTATTAATGTTCTGTATTATGGTCATGTTTCATGTTTGTGTGGACCTCAGCAAGAGTAACTGCTGCTTTCGCAACAGCTAATGGGGATCCTAATAAAAAAAACGAATAATGCATAGTGCATTTAATGTAAAAATAATAATCGAAAACAGCACTAATCGCTCAGCACTATTTATTGCTGTGAATTGCAAACTTGTAGTGTATTTTAAGTTTTAAAAAGACTTCTAAAATTTCAGACTTGATTTGTTCTAACGAAAAATGTATCAACTCATACAAAAATGTACATGAATTATTATCCACATAATAATTAACATTTCCTGTTGCTGCAGGATTATTTTCCTGCTGTAGCAAACTGGCTCAAATTAACATTCTACATTCGTAAATACTTTGTGCCAAAACATCAATTTTCTCTTTACAGAGAGTGTAATGAACTTACCAGAACTCTGACAACATCCTGCATGACATCAACTTCACAGGCACCCGTATCTAGCTAACACCTTTTACTCAACTAAGGCCTTGGTCTATTAACAGTTTGACATCATAAACACCCAGCACATTAACACCCTACTTTACTATAATAACTTCTCTATTGACAAGTGTGGCATTTTTCTATAGCAGCAGCTGCTTCACACCTCTGAACACACTGGTGCCCGCACATCTACAGTGGATATAAAAAGTCTACACACCCCTGTTAAAATGCCAGGTTTTTGTGATGTAAAAGAATGAGACAAAGATCAATCATGTCAGAACTTTTTCCACTGTTAATGTGACCTATAATGTGAACAATTCAATTGAAAAACAAACTGAAATCTTTGAGAGGGAAAAATGAAAAATAAAAACCTTTCAATAAACTGGTTGCATTAGTGTGCACACCCTCTTATAACTGGGGATGTGGCTGTGTTCAGAATTAACCAATCACATTCAAACTCGTGTTAAATAGAAGTCATTACACACCTGCCATCATTTAAAGTGACTCTGATTAATCATAAATAAAGTTCAGCTGTTCTAGTAGGATTTTCCTGACATTTTCTTAGTTGCATCTCAGAGCATTTTCTTAGTTGCATGGTCCGCAGAGCGCTTCCAAAGCATCAGAGGGATCTCATTGATAAAAGATATCAGTCAGGAGAAGGGTACAAAAGAATTTCCAAAGCATTACATATATCATGGAACACAGTGAAGACAGTCATCATCAAGTGGAGAAAATATGGCACAACAGAGACATTACCAAGAACTGGACGTCCCTCCAACATTTATGAAAAGACGAGAAGAAAACTGGTCAGGGAGGCTTCCAAGAGGCCTACAGCAACATTAAAGGAACTGCAGGAATTTCTGGCAAGTACTGGCTGTGTGCTACATGTGACAACAATCTCCCGTATTCTTCATATGAATGGGCTATGGGGTAGGGTGGCAAGACAGAAGCCTTTTCTTACAAAGAAAAACATCCAACCCCGGCTGAAGTTTGCAAAAACAAACATCAAGTCCCCCAAAAGCATGTGGGAAAATGTGTTATGGTCTGATGAAACCAAGGTTGAACTTTTTGGCCATAATTCCCAAAGGTATGTTTGGCGCAAAAACAACAGTGCACATCACTCAAAGAACACCTTACCCACAGTGAAGCATTTTTCTTCAGCTGGAACCGGGGCCTTAGTCAGGGTGGAGGGAATTATGAACAGTTCCAAATACCAGGCAATTTTGGCACAAAACCTTCAGGCGTCCGTTAGAAAGCTGAAGATGAAGTTCACCTTTCAGCACGACAACGACCCAAAGCACACATCCAAATCCATAAAAGCATGGCTTCACCAGAAGAAGATTAATGTTTTGGAATGGCCCAGCCAGAGCCCAGACCTGAATCCAATTGAACATCTCTGGGGTGATCTGAAGAGGGTTGTGCACAGGAGATGTCCTCGCAATCTGACAGATTTGGAGCGCTTTTGCAAAGAAGAGTGGGCAAATATTGCCACGTCAAGATGTGCCATGCTAATAGACTCCTACCCAAAAAGACTGAGTGCTGTAATAAAATCAAAAGGTGCTTCAACAAAGTATTAGTTTAAGGGTGTGCACACTTATGCAACCAGGTTATTGTGAGTTTTTTATTTTTTATTTTTCCCCCTCAAAGATTTGTTTTTCAATTGAATTGTTCACGTTATAGGTCACATTAAAGATGGAAAAAGTTCTGACATTATTTATCTTTGTCTCATTCTTTTACATCACAAAAACCTGGCATTTTAACAGGCGTGTGTAGACTTTTTATATCCACTGTACGCTCAGTCTTGCTACATATACCACAGCTCTAATACAACCCACAGGCTGCAGTGCTGATTCCTGTTGTAACTTTCCACTCAGGCATTGATAGTTCAGTAGGTTTTTTAAACTCTCTGACTCAGGCTCCTCTCCTGTGTGCTAATGCTTACCTGGTCCAGTTGAATGAGCTGAGGGTATGCCCCTGGCATCTGGATGGCAATCTTCACAATATCTTTCTGTTGCGGCATCTTGAAGTGTGTGTATGGGTGTCGTCCTAAGACTCTGAGACATAAGGTCAACTGAGATTAAATATTACTATCAAATAATTCACACAGTAAATTAGAGTGTTTCTGACCTGACCAGATCAGCCTTGCCCTCAAGTCATTAGAGCTTTCATTTTCCAAATGAATTCACTGAACTTCTATCTTCCTCTTTTACGAGTACTATGTCTATATTTTCTTCAGGTTGTACAGAGAACATGGCCCTTTCTGTGTTTAGGACTACACAGTTGAAGGCCAGACAGACAGACATGCATACACAACCCCGATGGCACACATAGACATCCAGAGGAGTCCCCGAGAAGAGGAGACAGTCAAGCTCTCTTCATGCTCTCTCTAGCGCATATGGAAACACTAAAGTTAGTTAAACAATTTTGCACATGCTTCACTTGATGAAAAGGAAAATCTGTGTGTGTGTGTGTATGTCTCCCATTTGCAGGCACTAGAAATAACCTACAAAAAAAGATGGTGCTGGTGTTTAAGTTCCATTTCTGTCAAAACAGAGACACGTTCTCTTTCACCTGACAAACTGATCTTCACCGTAGCTACATATAAGGGCACCGAGGTCCAGACCTTCGTATTTTTTTCAAATATTATTTTATTTACTTATTTTGCATTTTTTGTAGGAACTTAGTTTGGGTCTCAACTTACTGTTGAGAGTTAGAACAGTAGCATACCCAGGGTGCAATTTCAAAACTTGTCTGTGCATCAGCAGTTTTCCTCGTTATATGTCACTAACAGTCACTCAATTATGAATTACGTGTTTTGGCTTCAATGGAAACTAACCTGAAACTTTTCTCACTCACTTCATATACTAATACTCTTGAAGCCTTGTGAGAGAATGCTCTCCCAACCAAAAACATTACTATACAGTAGCCTAGTTGCCTTTCCATACAAGGATAGGGTGTGGTGTTGGTAGTGTACGCTACATGACAGGCTGGCAGGGAGAGAGGTGTTTGGGTTTCCCAGGCTCTCTCTCCTGCCTGTCCCAGCATGCATTGGGTTTGAGACTATGTGGCTGTAACAAACATTTCGCACCCGCTATAACGCCTGCTAAAGTTGCTCAACTGTGTACGCGACCAATAAACTGCTGCTACTACAGGAGGGAGAGGAGAGAGAGACAGAGAGAGAGAGCGAATGTGTTGTATGAGTCAGTAGCTAGGTTGTGCACACTGATTTGTGTGAGATGTGGCAGACAATCAATGTCACAGATAATTGACTGACACTAGCTAGGTTTCCATCCAATTGGCGACAGATTTTCATGCGGATATTCTAAAATCTGCATTTTCCCACAAGAGATGTGTTTTCATCAAATTGACTTGTTGAGGATAAAAGGCTGTGCGTGATGACGTAGTGCACATAAAAATACCCTTTGCGGTAAAATTCCCATGTACCGAATAAAGAATACAAGTTGAATGGGTTTCCATCTCATTTTCAACTCTACTGATGGTTTTCTCACAAAATAATGTTGCGTTATATAGAGCGCGTTCCCAGTTAGGCATTGGCACGTGCGTTCTAGTCTAGCCAACAGCTAGATACAGTGTGGTTAGGCCTATAGCCTACATGAGATTATTATGGAGATTTGTTAAAAGGAAGCCAAGCATCAATGATCATGTCACCAGAATAAGACTTCCGATATTTATTAGAAACGAGCATCAAGCTCATCTTGCACTTTCACCACCCTGTGAAGTTCATCATAACTTATTTTATTTGTAGCCTAATAAACTGCATGCTTTCCCAACGAGTAGTGGGAAGACCACACAACATGTAATCTCCTGATTCCTAGTTTACATGACCAACCTGTTCTCAGAGCATTTTGTATTATTCTGTGTGTAAATTTGAGACACTCCTTTTAGCATGATATGTTACATATGGTATGTATTAATTTGTGGATGTTCATCACCCATTTTGTATGATATGTGACGAATAACAATTTGTTTTATATATGTTACGAATTTGCAAATGCACAATATGTTACAAAATTGCAAAATGTATGATATGTTACGAATTCTAGCTAGGTGGCTAACGTTAGCTAGCTGGCTAGGCTAGGGGTTAGGGTTAAGTTTATGAGTTAAATTAAAGGCTTAAGGTTAGGGTTAGGGTTAGGGGAAGGGTTAGATAAAAGGGTTAGGGTTAGGGGAATAATTAGCTAAAATGCTAAAGTTGTCCGTGATGAGATTCGAACTTGCAACCTTTGAGTGTCCCGGATTTACATTTACTATGTTACGTCTAGTCTATGAGACCAGGCTGCAACAATGGGAACATCAATAATTGTCATAAAAGTGTTTCCACCGTAATTTCTCGCATAATACTTTTTTACAGACACAAAAAGATCCCACCTTGTCTAGCGTATTTTGTTTTGTCGACATTTGGAAAGTTTACCGACAAACGTTCTGTTTCCATCAGGCCTGTCATTAAATTTTTTATCCGACATGTACTTTACTCGCATAAAAAGGTTGGATGGAAACCTGGTTAATGTCTCTGCATTTGTAAGCCCTGTATGTGAATGTTACACTAAATGGCCAAAAGTATGTGGACATGCCTTCAGGTTAATAAAATCGAGCACACAGCCATGCAATCTCCATAGACAAACATTGGCAGTAGAATGGCCCGTACTGAAGAGCTCAGTGACTTTCAACGTAGCACCGTCATAGGATGCCACCTTCCCAACAAGTCAGTTTGTCAAATGTCTGCCCTGCTAGAGCTGCCACGGTCAACTGTAAGTGCTGTTATTGTGAAGTGGAGACGTCTAGGAGCAACAACGGCTCAGCCGCGAAGTGGTAGGCCACACAAGCTCACAGAACGGGACCGCCGAGTGCTGAAGCACGTAAAAATTGTCTGTCCTCGGTTGCAACACTCACTACCAAGTTCCAAACTGCCTCTGGAAGCAATGTCAGCACAAGAACTGTTCGCCGGGAGCTTCATGAAATGGGTTTCCATGGCTGAGCAGCCAAACACAAGCCTAAGATCACCATGCGCAATGCCAAGCGTCGGCTAGAATGGTGTAAAGCTCGCCGCCATTGGACTCTGGAGCAGTGGAAACGTTTTCTCTGGAGTGATGAATCACGCTTCACCATCTGGCAGTCTGACAGACGAATCTGGATTTGGCGGATGCCAGGAAAACGCTACCTGCCCGAATGCATAGTGCCAACTGTAAAGTTTGGTGGAGGAGGAATAATGGTCTGGGGCTGCTTTTCATGGTTCGAGCTAGGCCCCATAGTTCCAGTGAAGGGAAATCTTAATGCTAGAGCATACAATGACATTCTAGACGATCTGTGCTTCCAACTTTGCAGCAACAGTTTGGGGAAGGCCCTTTCCTGTTTCAGCATGACAATGCCCCCGTGCACAAAGCGAGGTCCACACAGAAATGGTTTGTCAAGATTGGTGTGGAAGAACTTGACATGCCTGCACAGAGCCCTGACCTCAACCCCATCGAACACCTTTGGGATGAATTAGAACGCAGACTGCGAGCCAGGCCTAATCACCCAACATCAGTGCCCAACCTCACTAATGCTCTTGTGGCTGAATGGAAGCAAGTCCCCGCAGCAATATTCCAACATCTAGTGGAAAGCCTTCCCAGAAGAGTGGAGGCTGTTGTAGCAGCAAAGGGGGGAACCAACTCCATATTAATGCCCATGATTTAGGAAGGTGATGTTCGACGAGCATATAGTTTTGGCCATGTCGTGTATTACTGCTGTTCACTGTAACAGTGTTAGTGATTATTATATTGATCCACATTATAATAGCGCCCATGACCATATAGGACTATGCATGAATGTGTACCTTCGTGTATCCCTTCTGTTAGCCTGCAGAACTAACTCGAATGTGTGTCATGCCCCTTGACCCTCTGCCTGTCCCATTAGGGGTGTGGAGGAGCGGGCCTTTAGCTGCTTGGAATTCCAACCCTTACAGACCTCCACCTACAACTGCCACCACACACACACACTTTGAAGTCTGTTGAGAAGGGCTATTAGTGCCTGAGATTTCACATTCTGGGTGCTGGGCAAATGGCAGTTGTCGACACACTAGTGAACATTGATCCATGGCTCAAGAGCCAGTCCTTTCCTGGCGTGACTCGTTTAAAATATGTATGTTGAATCATTGAGTGTTACTTGTTACCCGACACTTTACAAAGATGGAACGTTAACTCCTTTCTCTGCAGTAACTATTTCACAGCTGATGCTGGCATACACTGAAAATTATTTCAAAACACCCACCAATGAATTAAACTATTCATAATTTAGATTAATCGATTTCCTAGGATCACTCATAAAAGTTAGGGTGACACTCTATACTGCTTAGTCAACCCTTTTCAACCCGTTTACTCTAGCTCGCTGTAGACACGGGTAATGCTGTACTGGGGCCCCGGAGCCATTCGTACCAGGTTTACGAAACAGATTTGTTCCTTCTCGTTCAAAAAAGTTTAGCGAACAATCAAAAGAAAATCTCTCTATTTGAGTTGCACATTTATTTGGTTCCTACCTTTTTGAAAAGAGAAGTCAGTGTCCTCGCGAAAGCCCCGAGTTCGGAAATGGAAGCATTTGCAATCTCTCCCTAGAAAGGACGACAATAATCCGAGGTAATTCTATTTTGAATATGAACAATCTTGGAGAAGGCTCCCCTAGGCGGAGAAATTGTCTTACAGAATTTCAAAAAGTAATTGATCATTTAAAGTTCCGGGTTGAGTCGAGTCACACCCGCCCACCTGTAGGAAGCAGCGTGTACTGACCATAGATCGACCCGTTCCAATTTATCCAACATAGTGGGTTTACTGTAAACCGATGTGCATTTTCAAAGGAACATTCTGTGAAAAGCCTATAGAGCGCTCAAAATGAGTACCGGCAGGATCAGAATATACTAAAATATTGTGCGATTATTTTCTCCACATTGAATATTTCCAAAATGCAATTAATGTTTTATTGGAATGATGTGAGATTCTTGTCCAGATTCAAAGATACTGTACATGCGATTTCAATTATATAGGCTACTAATCCCTACATTACATGCATCTGCTCTCTGATAAATGTTGTCTGTCAGATTATATTATCTTGGGTTTTATACTGAACAAAAAATATAAATGCAACATGTAAAGTGTTAGTCCCATGTTCCATGAGTTGAAATGAAAGAGCCCAGAAATATTCCATAAGCACAAAAAGCTTATTTCACTAAAATGTTGCGCATAAATTTGGTTTACATCCCTGTTAGTGAGCATTTCTCCTTTGCCAAAATAATCCATCCACCTGACAGGTGTGGCATATCAAGAAGCTGATTAAACAGCATGATCATTACAAAGGTGCACCTTGTGCTGGGGACATTAAAATGTGCAGTTTTGTCCCACAACACAATGCCACAGATGTCTCAAGTTTTGAGGGGGCGTGCAATTGGCATGCTGACTGCAGGAACGTCCACCAGAGCTGTTGCCAGAGAATTTAATGTTCATTTCTCTACCATAAGCTGCCTCCAACATCGTTTAAGAGAATTTGGCAGTACATCCAACTGGTCTCACAACCGCAGACCACATGTAACCACGCCAGTCCAGGACCTTCATATCCGGCTTCTTCACCTGCGGGATTGTCTGAGACCAGCCACCTGGACAGCTGATGAAACTGAGGAGTATCTCAGTCTGTAATAAAGCCCTTTTGTGGGGAAAAATAAATTCTGATTGGCTGGGCCTGGTTCCCCAGTGGGTGGGCCTCCCAGGCCCACCCATGGCTGCGACCCTGCCCAGTCATGTGCAATCCCTAGATTAGGGCCTAATGAATATATTTCAATTGACTGATTTCCTTATATGAACTTTAACTCAATAAAATCGTTGAAATTGTTGCATGTTGCTTCTCTATTTTTGCTCAGTATAGATAGCCTACTACATAAAGCTGTGCAATAGCCAATGCGCATGTTTGGGGAATTTTTCACAATTCAATTCATGCAGTCATCATAGTTTTATTTAGGGTTCCTTATCCATATTCAGTTATAACATTATCTGCAATGTGGCCTTCTCTGCCAACAACAATAAGATAAGAGTAAAGGAAATGGACAGAATGTTTTATTTTGTTATTCCTTTCATATATAATGTAACCAACATTACAAATGCAATGACACTGTAGATCCTCTGAGCCTCTTAACACATCCAATGTTACATGTAAGCAGACTCTGCTTGAATTCCCTGGGCATTGATGGCTTCAGTGAACTGACAACACCACCCAAACGAGAGATGGTGCAATCCTAACAGGTTGGGGTGTTGTAAAGTGCAATGATGTGAGAGCAGTTTGATACAGATTATCGTTTTGTGAATATATTTTATACACCCAAATCGGTAATATATCTGACAGATACAAAATAAATGATATTCTATAATACAAAAGGAAACAATGTACTCTGGGAAGGAATGAAAACAAATGAACAGAATGAAAGAAAAAACAAATATTCTCTCACCAAAGTCAACATTTGTATTTCCATAGTCATGGTGAAAGCATGTGGGGGGACCTTTACTATTGAACACGGATCAGAGTGATATATACAAATACGCTAGACCAGCACCCATACTTTATAGGAACTAATGATTTTATCTGTTAAAAAAATACATGAAACAAACATTTCCTTTTACATACAGACTAAATAAAATAACATATATATACATAATTGTAAGACAAACCAAGAGTGCCACAGACAATGTGAGTGAAACGGGTAAGAAAGAAAACAATGACAAAACAAGGCAAAGGCACCAAGGTGAATGATAGACATGTTGCAGTTAGTTCAATGTGCATTACACCTAAAACTTTCTCTTATCATGTCTTCGTCTGGAACCCTGGTTCACTATATTACACATGTAGTTCATTACACACTTAACGCCACAAATGCTGGTAATACAAAATATATATATTCTCTATATACACAGAACAACAGTGCGTATTTGATCAGCTGTGTGTGTGTACACATTCACGCGTACTGTACGAGTGTGTGCAGTTGCCTGGGCGTCTCTGAATCTGTTGACACTGTTGATGAGGATCAGAGTGCAATGATGACTGCTTTTGCCAGTTTGTAACTTACTTCAAAACATAGATGGATGGAGGGAATATAGTTAAATCACAGACCAGTATGAAAATAAGGCATTTCACCTGAGCGATCATCAGTTCAGAGAGGACAATATTTCTTTATCCCCCCCTTTTCATCTAACCTAGAGCCACTACGCCCTGAAACATTTCCTGCCAATGTTTAGTGGAAAGATTTGGGAACGATTTGGGTAAGAGAAAGAAGAGGGTCAGGTCAGACTGACATCAAAACATTTCTTTTTACACAGAACAATCTTCTAATACACAGGGATCCAAAAATAGAATCACTCATTTGTCTTTTCCATATAAAATGGTAAAAATGGTTTGTTCTTAGATTTCCTTACATTAAACACTGTTGGGAACTCAGCTCAGAGGTCAAAGGTTAAGGATAGGAACATCAAAGAGGTCACAAAGGCCTTCAGTTTCGTCAAGGTTATAGATATAGTCATGGTCACCCGGAGGGGGAGACAAACGGAGGAGTGGAGAGAACACTGGGAAAGAAAGAGGTACAAAGAGATAAAAAATACACTCCTCTCTTAACTTGTGATATGTTCAGTATATCTTTACTGATCCACAAATCCAAATCAGCAGACCTGTATGCATGTCAACTTACCCTCAGAAGAAATCAACTCCTCCAACAGGTCTGCACTCATGATCTCTACCCCGAGAGACAGTGTGAGGGAGAGATATGGGGAATGAGGATGAGGGGTTAGAATTAAGGTGCAAAACACTTATTCTGGTATCTATTACATTTTAGTCATTTAGCAGACGCTCTTATCCAGAGCGACTTACTGTTAGTGAGTGCATACATCTTTCATACATCTATAATCTCAAGTAATTGCCTATACATTGATAACATTTGCCATAGCAAAATAACTCCAATAGGTGATCTTTACCTTTAGTTGGGTCAAACATATCAGAAAGTTCTTTGGGGAAATCCAGCACTACAAACAGAAGACAGAAAACATTATAGTCACTCACTCAATAACATGAGTGCACACGCCCTAAATAAACCAACTGATGTATATTTTGTAGTTCTGTGGTATCCCCCTTGTATGATTTTGTAGCAGGATAGAGAAGCATTATGCTCTTAGGGAAACAGCAGGTGACACTTACGTTCTGAGGGGTCAGTCTTGATTGGTTCGAAGACTGCTAAAGATGAGGAAGAGAAGACATCCAATGAGGCAGAGGACTGGAGAGGCTGGGTGTCCAACAGGGGTGTCGGTTGGGCAGTTGTGTTTGTAGTGGGTGTGGAAACAGTCAGTGTGCTGGTGTTTTTGCTGGACACTGTAAAAGTAGGACAATGATATGAGAAATACATTTTGCTGCCATTCCAATGCTCAGATAAAGACACCATACAGTAAGTAGTCTGCCCTTTTTCAGACCAAATCGTACCTGCGGTGGTGACTGCCTGGTTGGTAGTAGCTGTGCAGGCAGGTGAGAGTGTGGCAGAACTGGGGTTGGAGGAGGGGGTCAGAGGCTGGTTGGGCTGGGAGGGGGCAGCAGGTGCTGGTTTTGGGTTAGCAGCAGAAGCAGGCACTGGCAGGCTCTGGAGCATGTCCTCTGGTGGGGGGACGGGCAGTACCACTGGAGACGGGCTGGACGGGTCCTTGTTTACTAGAAGAACCTCAATGGGTCCTGCTGAGCTCTTGAGACGGATCTGATACTTCCTCTGTCCATTCAGTACCTGCCAACAGTCACTCAGAGTCAGACACATGGTAGTGGCACAGGGAACTCCAACTCAGATTCTGTACTGCTGTGTGTGTAGCAGGCCTTTGTTTCACCCCAGTACTGAAACTTGATTTATATAATCGTTGTCCAGACTGCATTTAGTTGATTGCTTTTAAAAAGTATATTAGTGCTAGGCTGGAACAGAAGCCTGCACAACCAGTAGCTCGCCAAAATCCAAGTTGGAGATCCATGGTCTGAAGACAGTGAGACAATGGGGAGAATCGTTTTTATAAACAGACCAAAATCCCACTAATTTATCATGCCTGCTTCTTTTCAACTGCTTTTGGTATATCTGAAAGGAGTAGGGGGTTAAAAAAAATATGGCAAAAGAAAAGCCACCTAAACAGTGCCTAAAATTAATACCGCAAAATTCTGGTAAGATTTTGGCATTGGTGGGTATGTCTATTTCACCAGCCATGTTGGCAGGTGGTCACAGAGCATTTGGGAACAGTTTTCTTTCCATCCAAAGCCCACATGTAGAAGTTGGTTGAATTGACAAGAAAGGCTACTGAAGTGTGACTTTGTCCTTATGTTTCTTGGCCAGTTACATCGTTTTGTTCACACACTAGGTTGTTTTTCCAATGTTTGAGTTTGCTGCAACTGTCTGCTGCTAGGGAAGAGACCTCGCAGTCTGAATTTTTTTCCCTTCACAGACAAGCAAGCGCCCAGTTAACGGCCCGTCCCTTAAAGGGGCAGCTGAACATTTTTGTCTCACCTAATGACTAAAATATTAAGAGAATATTGTGCTTGATTAAGCATGGATCCCTCCAAAAACCTATCATTAACCCTATCAGTCCCAAGACTAGGCTTGGGCGGTATACCACATACCCGGCTATTTGTGAAAAGCCACAAGATGGTTTTTCAAAACAATTTATTTTATGTTTTTATATTTGTAGTTACTTTTTAAGTTATTACCTGCAGTCAACTTGTGCAATACCTTAGGAGATAAAGCAGATAGCTTCCTTCATTTCACCCGTCACATTATTTTAAATGATTAAGCTTACCGTAGTTCCCCAGAACAGTTGAGCCAGTCACGTGTTTGTTTGTAAATAGCACAATGGGAGAAAGCAAACTGTTGACTCCGTAGTGTTCTATATCTATTGGCGAATCTTTGTTGTGCGGCGCACATGAGGTGATGAAGTTACACTTATATGCAATTCACTACTAAATGTTTGCCATCAGATATCTTAATGGCTTTCTGCCAGCAAAGCGCTCTGGGTGAGTTCTGTACAGCTGCCATTTTCCCCCCTCCTCCATTCTTCTCCCATCTGCTCCTTGTCCACATGCTGCTCTTCCTTCAGAAAAGCATGCTACACAACTTTTCATTTGCAGAATTTTCTCGTTCACTTTCGCTTGTAAATGTCCACACTCACCGAAAATAACATTTGGTAGCTACTAGCTATGATTGTATAACTTTATGAGCTGGATTTGCCTCTCTTTGCAATTAGTTTGTTTGTTTTTGCTCGTTCGCTAACAGCGTCTATGTGATTTTGCTATTAGTTTCTGCTAATTTAATTAGCATTCTGGTAATAGAGGCCCAATGGGATTTTCTTGTGTTTTTCAGCACACCCCTTGTGTGCTATGACGGTATGAGATAAGGACGGTATGACTATGTAAATCTGGATACCGCCTTAACCTACCCAGACTTTCATTTATCTGCATGTCCAGCCCTTATATTTAGCCTCACAATGAAGTTGTTTACCATTTTATTCTCAGGGCAACAAGGGCTACAAGTAGAACACACAACAATTGGACATAAACTATTGCATTCATGAGATTAATTGACAAATGTCAATTAAAAACATAAGGTCTGCCAAAGCAAAATCCTGATAAAAATGAATTTATATGAATGCTGTAAGTACAGAAATTTGCTCACTGGGAAATGAATATCCAACTAGTCAGTGACAACTGTGTGGAGTTGAGTTTGTGACAGCAACTATGTGAGCTTATTACAGTATTATAGACAAATTAGACACATTTCCTACATCTATGCAGAAGAACCTTCTAATGACTCGTGTGGTTTGTGAGCGTCATAGAGCAAAACGTGCGCGTTCATGAGTAACTCAGCTTTTCATATGTAGCTTTTAATAGTTTGTAGCTCAAACCATTTGGACTCCGTTTCCTCACAAACACCGCTCTAGCTCAGCCCCCGTTAAATGACACAGACTAATGGTTGGTATCTACAGATGCAAAATAAATAGACCAATCCAATGGTACAACCCAACTCAAACACACAACTTCTAAGGGGTTAATCCAAAACAACCCGGCGTTACAGTGGGACCTATTTGGTTAAAACCCTCACATACATATATACCACACGCAGGGCATTCGGAAAGTATTCCCTTTTTCCACATTTTGTTACGTTATAGCCTTATTCTAAAATGGATTAAATAAATATTTTTTCTCATCAATCTACACACAATACCCTATAATGATAACGTGAAAAGAGGTTATTAGACATTTTTGCAAATGTATTAAAAATAAAAAACCTGAGCTCAATTTCCAGTCTCATAGCAAAGGGTCTGAATCCTTATGTAAATAAGGTATTTCTGATTTTTATTTATTTAATCAATTTTAGAATAAGGCTGTAACGTAATTTTTTTTTTTTTAAGTAAAGGGGTCTGTATACTTTCCTAAGGCACTGTATACACACACACACACACACACAAAAGTATGTGGACACCACTTCAAATTAGTGGATTCAGCTGTTTCAGCCACACCGTTGCTGACAGGTCTATAAAATCGAGCACACAGCAATGACATCTCCATAGACAGCCATGCAATCTCCAGTAGAATGGCCTTACTTTAGAGCTCAGTGACTTTTAATGTGGCACCGTCATAGGATGCCACCTTTCCAACAAGTCAGTTCGTCAAATTTCTGCCCTGCTAGAGCTGCCCCGGTTAACTGTAAGTGCTGTTATTGTGATGTGGAAACATCTAGGAGCAACAACGACTCACCCGTGAAGACGTAGGTCACACAAGCTCACAGAATGGGACCGCCGAGTGATGAAGCGCGTAAAAATGGTCTGTCCTCGGTTGCAAAACTCACTATCGAGTTCCAAACTGCCTCTGGAAGCAACTTCAGAACAATAACTGTTCGTCGGGAGCTTCATGAAATGGGTTTCCATGGCCGAGCAGCCGCACACAAGCCTAAGATCACCATGCGCAATGCCAAGTGTCGGCTGGAGTGGTGTAAAGCTCGCCGCCATTGGACTCTGGAGCAGAATCACGCTTCACCATCTGGCATTCCGACGGACGAATCTGGGTTTGTCGGATGCCAGGAGAATGCTACCTGCACGAATGCATAGTGCCAACTGTAAAGTTTGGTGGAGGAAGAATAATGGTCTGGGGCTGTTTTTCATGGTTCAGGCTAGGCCCCTTAGTTCCAGTGAAGGGAAATCTTAACGCTACATCATACAATCACATTCTAGACAATTCTGTGCTTCCACCTTTGTGGCAACAGTTTGGGGAAGGCCCTTCCCTGTTTCAACATGACAATGTCCACGTGCACAAAGCGAGGTCCATACAGAAATGGTTTGTTGAGATCGGTGTGGAAGAACTTGGCTGGCCTGCACAGAGCCCTGACCTCAACCCCATCGAACACCTTTGGGAGGAATTGGAATGCAGACTGCTTGCCAGGCCTAATCACCCGACCTCACTAATGCTCGTGGCTGAATGGAAGAAAGTCCTCGCAGCAAGGTTCTAACATCTAGCGGAAAGCCTTCACAGAAGAGTTTAGGCTGTTATATCAGCAAAGGGGGGGACCAACTCCATATTAATACCCATGATTTTGGAATGAGATGTTTGATGAACAGGTGTCCACATACTTTTGGTCATGTAGTGTACTTTCTTTTACATTTCAGTCATTTAGCAGACGCTCTTATCCAGAGCGATTTACAAATTGGCCTTCAATTGTGCTCCTAGATGTATTTGTGTGCTTCCACATTTCTAATTAGTAGCTATATCTATACTCAGTATAGATACAGTGGGGGAAAAAAGTATTTAGTCAGCCACCAATTGTGCAAGTTCTCCCACTTAAAAAGATGAGAGAGGCCTGTAATTTTTATCATAGGTACATGTCAACTATGACAGACAAAATGAGAAATTTTTTTCCTGATAATCACATTGTAGGACTTTTAATGAATTTATTTGCAAATTATGGTGGAAAATAAGTATTTGGTCACCTACAAACAAGCAAGATTTCTGGCTCTCACAGACCTGTAACTTCTTCTTTAAGAGGCTCCTCTGTCCTCCACTCGTTACCTGTATTAATGGCACCTGTTTGAACTTGTTATCAGTATAAAAGACACCTGTCCACAACCTCAAACAGTCACACTCCAAACTCCACTATGGCCAAGACCAAAGAGCTGTCAAAGGACACCAGAAACAAAATTGTAGACCTGCACCAGGCTGGGAAGACTGAATCTGCAATAGGTAAGCAGCTTGGTTTGAAGAAATCAACTGTGGGAGCAATTATTAGGAAATGGAAGACATACAAGACCACTGATAATCTCCCTCGATCTGGGGCTCCACGCAAGATCTCACCCCGTGGGGTCAAAATGATCACAAGAACGGTGAGCAAAAATCCCAGAACCACACGGGGGGACCTAGTGAATGACCTGCAGAGAGCTGGGACCAAAGTAACAAAGCCTACCATCAGTAACACACTACGCCGCCAGGGACTCAAATCCTGCAGTGCCAGACATGTCCCCCTGCTTAAGCCAGTACATGTCCAGGCCCGTCTGAAGTTTGCTAGAGTGCATTTAGATGATCCAGAAGAGGATTGGGAGAATGTCATATGGTCAGATGAAACCAAAATAGAACTTTTTGGTCAAAACTCAACTCGTCGTGTTTGGAGGACAAAGAATGCTGAGTTGCATCCAAAGAACACCATACCTACTGTGAAGCATGGGGGTGGAAACATCATGCTTTGGGGCTGTTTTTCTGCAAAGGGACCAGGACGACTGATCCGTGTAAAGGAAAGAA